CCCCTTGCATGCTCTACCAACTGAGCTGCATCCCCAGCCCTTGAAGAGAGTTTCTGCTCTCTATTACAGCCTCTCTATTGAGGAGCCCAGATGAGAGCTGATGTAGGTAATAATGTTTTATTCTCATTTGTAGAGTTTCAAATTTCATTTTTGAGCATTTTCTGGGACAGTGTTAGGTGACCCACAATCCTTACTTCAGTTGAGACAGAGGACAAAGATGAAATGTGCCTTAAGAAGCCTGGAGGCGATGCTGAAGGTGGCCTTAGCCTGAAGGTGACTGTTCCACAGTGTTCTGGGAGTCTCTGCAAGGGTTGGAAGGTTGGGGACAGGACTGTTACAGGCTCTGCTCAGTATGCTTGATGAGGCCCTCTGCTGACTTTGGCCAGATATTTTCCTTACATTTTAAGCTGTTTCTTCTTTTTATAGCTGGGACCAGATAAGAGCTGGTGTTGACAAGTATCTGTCACACTTCACATACCAATGCCACAACCATCAGAGAGTCACACTCACCAGTGTGCTCTGACCTCCTGTCAAGCCTCCTTCACAGCTTTCCAGAAGTCCCTGCATTTAAAAAAAAAAATCAATAAAAAATAATTTGCTAGATTAATTTGGAACTTTTTATGTAACTAATCAAAGTTACTGCCCCCTCCCTCTTTTATTTTATTTGTTTTCTTTTGGTTTTGGTGTTTCAAGACAGGGTTTCTCTGTGTAGTCTTAGGTGACTTAGAACTACCAATGCAGAGCATGCTGGCCTCCAACTTAGGAATCCTCCTGTCTCTACCTCCTGAGTGTTGGAATTAAAGGTGTGCACCACCACACCTGACCATGCTCGTTCTTTATGAATGAAAATTTTATAAAACTTTGCAAGAAACTGCCAGGCCCTTGCATTCTAACCAGCCCCGTGTGTTGTGGTGCAGGTGAGTTCTCTATTTTCCATGGTCCTCTGTATTCTGTTATCAAGGTTCTTGTGTATGCTGCCAGCCCTCTGTGGGTCAGCCGTGGTCCTTCCCCACCCAGGGCTCTTGTGAAGGTGTGCTTATTTACTCAAGCACCTCCTCCCCTCAATGCTTCCTGGTACTATCTAGCTCACACTGGCTGCCAGGCCTTTCTGAGAGGCTGCTTCTGAGAAGAAGAGTGGGATTTGAAAGAAGGCAGATAGATGGTGTTTAAATCACTTGGCAGATTGCTTTCTCAGTAGCCCAAAGAGAAGCAGAAACTCCAGTGTGAGGAGTTTCTATTTCCTTGAATCCAGCCTCCTGGCTCCCAGCCAGGCCAAGGGTGCCACACGGAAGATGGAGGTGGGCAGTCAGGTTTCAGGACAGGTCTTTCAGGGATGTGTTGATACAGGCCTGCAGAATGCTTCTTGAGTCAGGGTGATGGGACATGCGACTCTTTGTGGGTTTTAGGATCAGGGAACAGACTGGAGTTGTAGGCACAACAAATGAAGCACGACTGGACTTGCATCTCCAAGCTTATGTAACAGGCGGCCTTCATCGGGCAGTGGTGGGCCTGGAGCTGTGTAGGAAGCACCGTAGTTGACTGTGTCTTCAGACAAGTTGTCTACCTCTTGTGGGGCTTGCTTTTCTCCATAATGGCCTGGTGACAACAGGTAACTTGTCCTGCCAGTATTAGGTTGAATGTCGTAGCCTAGGGACCTTACTCATGTCTTTTTGTTCAAAGAGTTCTGAGTCTTCTAGAAACTCTGCCAGGAGCAAGCTGAGTACATTCAATCAAAAGTGATGAAGTTTCAGGACCCCAGTATTCAGGATTCATTCACCCCTGTGGGTCCATCTCCTCTCAATGGTTATGTTCTTTTAAAAAAAATATGATAATATCTCATAATCTGGAGTCTTATTTCTCTTATTTCTATCATGGAAGTAACATGATCTGTGTCCCTGGCCTCCTTGGTTACCTGAGAGTGTTGGATGATGAATGTGAACAGTTGAAAACTGGTAGGACTGATGCTGAGGTTGACAGGACAAATATTAGGGAAGGAATGGTGGGGAGCTGCTCTAGGTGTGACCAGGCCACAGGTATTTCTCATCAATGTAACTCATCTTCCTTCTAATGGTAGAGCATTTACACTGTGTTCCTGTCTACCAGAGGCTGCTTGGGGTATACTGATTGCCATACAAGTATCATTCAGAACTTTGCCCCTGGGCACAGGGAGACAAGGGGGTAGGTGAAGGTGGCATTGGATTTCTGAAGCACTGCCCACAGGGCTGGAAGCTGCCAGTCTCTAATTTCTGAGAGAATGGGACAACACATGATCATATAGAAGGCATGGGATTCAGAAACAGAATCTAGATTCAGGCTCTGTCCTAACACTCTTCCCTGAAGTTGCCTTGTGCACACCCCTCACCTTCCCAGCCCAGTCTTCTCACTTACAAAATGTGGAGGTGATGTGTTGATAGCTGAATGTGTGAGTAAATGTTTTGTAGACTCTAAAGTGCTTCTGATGTTTAGAGGTGAGTGGTTACTGCTTGATTGTTTCCCACCAGATTGCAAATGGGACTGACCCAGAGTTTACATTCTCATGCTTTCTGGAGATGGCTCTGTAAAAAAAAGCCAAGTGCAATAAGGCCCAGCCCTTGAATGTGATGCAAGGCTGTCTGAAACAGGTGTTGCAGGGGGCTGCTCCCATCCCAACTGGAAAGCTGCTTTTTTGGGAAGCCCAGGCTGCTGCCTACTAGATGAGGTCATAGGATTCTGTGGGCTGGCCCCAGAATAGGAATGTGAAGTGAGAGGCCAGCTGTGCTGGGATGAGTGAAGGTTTGGTAGGGGTGATCCTCCGTGGCTGGGTCAGTTAGCAAGCAGCCTGGCAGCCTGGTCTGATGGCCTGTTAAGATCTGAGCTGCTCTGGCTGCCTGTGCAGTGGTTACATCACCAGTTCAGAGAAAGGGAAGTCTTGGGCTTTTAGTGACATTTTCAGTCTGTGTGTTGTGCTGATTTAGATCCACTAATCTCCAGAGAGGCTCAGTGCTCAATTAGGGGGTGAAACTAACATCTTAATATCACCAAACTATGAGGATCTACTGGCTGGGACAGCAGCCAGTAGATCCACTGCCTGTAGATGATCTACTGCCTGTGTTAAGAGCTTTTAAAGAGGACCCATACCCTTTGATTTAGTAATTTTTCTTCAGCGGCTTTAACTCAAGGAAATAATTTGAATTGGGGTGAGGGGGCATCTATGCTCAGATGCTGATTATGATGGGAGGGGACCCCTAAAATATCGAGCATTAGAAGAATATATGAGTCCAAACTGAAGCACTGTGGAGTCGGGTGTATGGGTGTTTTTGTTCTGCTATACCCCTGCATCCACAGCAATGCCACACACATAGGCTATGTATTTTGAAGTTATATGAAACAGATTATGTCCATATGTCAAACTGTTACTCAGTAATTCAAATGAAAGCATCAGAAGGAAAGTATGTGTGTGAGTTAGATGTAGTTAAAAAAAAATCACACACACACACATACACAGGAAACTTTTATTTTGTATGTTGACTTGAAGAACTTTTTAAAAAGAAAGTTAACATCATATATAAAACTGAAAAAGCAACATTTTTTAAAAGATTTATTTTTATTTGTGTATGAGTACTCCAGCTGCATGTACACCTTTATACCAGAAGAGGGCATCAGATCCCACTGTGGATGTTTGTGAGCCTCCATGTGGTTGCTGGGAATTGAACTCAGAACTAATGAAGAGCAGCCAGTGCTCTTAACTGCTAAGCTGACTTTCCAGCCCGTAACATGTTTGTGTATGTAGAAAAATCTCTGCCACCTTGGGTTCAGCAGGTAAGGGCACTTGCCCTGATGACTTGAGTTCAATCTCTAGGTTTCATCCATACTGTAGGAGAGAACTCCCCAAAGTTGCCCTCCGACCTTCACTTATATGCCCTGGCACATGTGTTCCTACCTACCCACCTACAAGCAAACAAATGTAACGCCCCCCCCCCCAATTTTTTTTAATCAAAATTACATTTTTTAAAAATAGAAGGCAATAAATAAATAAATAAATAAATGAATAAATAAATAATTTCACACTACCTTATAAGGAGATTATCACACATACAGTGATGGCATAGGCGCTTTTTGTTAGTTTGTTTCTAGATTTTATAAAAATCTGAAAGCAACCGACTTTTGTACTTGGGAAATTCTTTTTCAATCCATCACATTCTCTTTTGAGAAAGGAGATTTCGTTTATTTGCTTATTTGTGAAACAAACCAGCAGCCTCCAGAGCCAGCTCCGCATCTTTCAAAGCACCAGGCAGTCTTTGTCAACACACAAAACACCTACACACAGGCCCAGTCTGTCAGCTTGGCATGGAAGCAGCCACTCCTGTCTTCAAAAGGGTGGTAGAAGGCTTGGGTGTTGGAACCAAGCAGGTCGTGTTGCAAGGACATGCCCATATGTTTATTATCCCTTCAGTGAACTGAAGACATTTGGGAGCAGCCAGAAGAATTTTAAGAAGATAGGATTTGCTGGGTGGGTGGTTAATTCTTAGGATTCTTTCCCTGGCATACAGATTGGGAAAGCTGTTGAGAGTGTCACCTATTTTCCTTCATTCTTGTATCAGCTTGTGCTATCTTAAAGATTTTTTTATTTCCTTAGTGTTTCAGTGAAGTAAGTCTTTAAGGTATTATATTTTCCTGGGCATGGTGACATGTAACTGTGACCCCACTAAGTGTGAGGCACAAATAGGAGGATTGTTCAGAGTTTGAGGCCAGCCTAGTCTACACAAAAATTCCAGGGCACCCAAAGATATGTAGCTAGACCCAATTTCAAAAAACAAAACCAACTGGGCACTTAGGAGTCAGAGGCAGGGGATCTGTATGAGTTTGAGGCCAGCTTGGGCTATATGTATAGTGAGTTCCAGGCCAGGCATGTCCCTCCTTCCCTGAGGAATGTTTGATGACCTGGGTCCCTAGGCATACTTATCCCTTGGTATACTTGTCCCCTCATTCATATGACTTCTCATCTCTCTTTGTGTCTCTAGCCACAACCAGCAGACCACAACCTTCAGGCATCCTGTGACTGGACAGTTTTCTCCAGAAAACACTGAATTCATTCTTCAGGAGGAGTAAGTATTTCTTTATGTTCTTATTCAGGTAGAGTTTGAGAGCTTGGAGTCATGAACTCAAAATACAACTTGCTACAATATTTCTGCTGTTTTGGTTTGTTTGTTTTGTAGTCAGATTGAGGATCTTGGAGAGTATTGGTTGATGCAAAGTGAGAGGAGTTTTATTTTTCAGTCTGCACATGTAAGGTGAGAGGATGTGGTGTGGAGAGATGCTGCTGAATGCGAATGCGCTATGGTGGTACAATCAGAGCCTCTTAAAATTGCCTTTCTGCTGAGCCATCACCTCGCATACTGGCCGTTCTCTCACGAGACTCCTCTGCTGGTGGGAAGGTGTCAGAGGTGAGATTTGGTGCTGAGGCTACCTACAGGAATTCCCAGGTTCTTGTCCCTGAACAAGGATTTAGACAGAGATAGTGGATCATAACAAGAAAGTTTACCAAGGGAAAAAAGCTTTTCCAAGTGTGGAAACAGGCCAGGGCTGGGAAAAGGTCAAAGACTCCATGGCAGATGCTCTACGAAAGATTGGGCTGGTTTATTCCAGTATGGTGGGCTGATGGATAGCCCACATTTTCTTTACATGGTCTTTTACATGTCAGCCTTGATGGAAAGGATTTCCATTCTTTCATATGCTAATTATGACTTAATTTCCATCCCACTGTCTTTCTACAATTGCCCATAAACGTAACCTCTAAAGGCATCAAGTAGGAATCTAAAGCTGAGGGTCTAGAGGAGAAGAAGCAGATCTTTGCTCATCTCAGTGATCTTCAGGGAGAAAACCCTCATCAATGGCTATACTTACTCATTGTGCTGAGTGGGCTACGGTTGCTGTTGCATAGAGATTCTAATGGTAGTTGACCTGTACAATATTAGGCTTGCTTGAAAGACACCACACTTCCTCTGCCACGTCTTCTGTAGGATCCCTTCTCCAGCTCTGTGTTATAAGACGTCATTGTTCATGATCAGATCATCATCTATGCTGCTCCTCTGAAGCCTCTTCCTGATGCTCACTCAGTTTCTTCAACTGTTACAGGTGTCTGGCCCTCTGTGGCTGTCCTAGTTTTATTTCTGTTGCTGTGATAAGATATCTTGACAAAAAAAGCAATTTAGTGGGAAAAAGGGTTTATTTCAGCTTACAGTTTCAGGTTACAGCCTGTCATTATGGGGAAGTTAAGTCAAACAGCTAGTCACAGTACATATAGTCAAGAGCAGAGATAAATTAATGTGTGCATGATTGTTTGGTTGCTTGCTTGTACTCAGCTTGATTTCTCCAGCCTTAATATGGTTCAGGGCCTTCTGCCTAGAGGCTAGTGCTGCCCACAGTGGGCTGGGTCTTGCTATATCAGTTAACTTAATTAGACAGTCCCCAATAGACATGCCCATAGGCTAACCCAATGTAGACAACTCATCTAGACTCTCATCTAGACTCTTCCTTGCATCTGATTCTCAGTTGTGTCAGGTTGACAATTAAAGCTAGCCAACACAGTAGCTAACTGGTCTACTTATACACAAGGGACTTGGAGGGTCCAGGAATGTGATTCCCATATCTGATCCTCAAGCACAGGCACATGCTTTCTTCTCCTCAGGGCTGTGGTGCCTCTACAGCTTTGGGGAAGAGGAGAGATACATTCCTGAACAGTGACTGCAGCTGACTGGCAGCTAGCTGCGTACACCAATCCCAAGACTCTGCAAAGCATTTCATGTGGAGGTGGGGCCTGGGCTGAGAGAGAGTGCACTTGCTTTGGAAGTTCTGAAGTCCACTATTGTACTGAGCAACTAACTGCAAAGCATGTGGACTCCCTTGGGGGTCCTCACCAAGGGGACCCTTTCTTGGCCTGCCCTTCCCTGTGCCCAGTGAGTTTTATCTATTCTCCCATTCCCACTTGTGTATTTGGAAAGAAAACACTGGTTGGAGTTGAGCTAATGTTGTAAGTGGTGTTTGAAGACAGCTCTAAGAGAGAGAGATCTGAGCTTGCTGAATGAAGGTAGGTGGTCTCTTACTGAACTTCAGACCCTTTGCAGGAGAGGCTTTATTTTACGGGTTTCAGGGCAAAACTCTCCTGAAGCTGGTACAGATTGTGGGCTTAGGTGGGAATCTCCTGCTGCTAGGCAATTCTGTATCCTGCTCTTCGTGCAGCTACATGTTGGTAAAAGCTGGCACCAGAGATAAGAGCAGGTGAGCATGGGGAGAAGGCACTCCAGCTCCAGGAGTCCAGCCCACACTCATCCTCTGGGTTCTGGGCTATGGGAGACTCATACATTGCAATCAGTGGCTGGTAGAACCAGCACCTTGTCTCTAGACACTGATAGACTGGGGCTAGCTTTGTCTGTTGCATTTGGTTGCCATGGCAGCAGAAAAGATGAGGAGAAATGCAAACACCTGGCAAGCAGATGCAGAAACTTGACTGGTTTTCCTTTCCGGATTATCGGACAGCTTTTGTGACAGTCACAGGTAAGGGGAGACATAGGGATGGGGCCTTAGTTCACTCAGGACCTAGTGGCAGGTTTTGGTATGGGTGTTTTGAGGGGCATTATCAATTGGGAAGGCAGTTATTGCCACATGACACCCACGCCTTTGACTCCTCTCTGCTGGCCAAATATGCATTCCTGGTGACTTTGCTGTGTGGAAGGGAAGCAGCTGCTCAAAAACAGAAGTCTTGTATCTTCCTGTGACTTCTCTAGTCCCTTTCTTTCCCTTTCCCACAACCTGGTGATTGCCCTGATGGCCATTTAACAAATGCTGTAGTCTGGCTGCTTGGTGGAATTGGCAGGAGAAGCAGGCAGGCTGGAAGGGGGCAGATTAGAATGGGAGCGTCTCAGAGGTCCATGTCTGCCTCTCATACTGCATAGATGGTCATGGAGTCTGCAGAGGGGAAGAGACTAGCCCAAGGCAGTCCAGCTTGGGGATTCTGATGCTCTGATTGAGGGGTAGGAGCACAACTGTCTGGGCTGTCTTCGTGCCAGGTGAGGGGTTGCTGTTGGGCTCTTTTCCAGCCTGTGTTTGAGGAATTGAGGGGGACTGGGAAAGCTCACAGTGACCTGCGGTGGAATGAGGCTGCAGTTGTTGCATGAAACCCTATGTCAGACAGCCTCCCCGGGGTGTTGCAAGTTGACAGTAAGCGTCGGCAGCCGGGAAGAAGGTTATGAAGGTGTGTCTGCCTGCTTGGGACAACAAGTAATTTTCTCCCTTTCCCTCCCTCCCTCTCTTCTTTCCTCTCCCCCTCCCCCCTTCTTTCTTACCTTCCCTGTCATCTTCATTGTAGATTGTGCTCCTTAAAGGTGTGCCCACTCTTGCATGTAGTCCTCCATTCACAGCCATCACTCAACTGAGTTCTCTTGTCTCTGGAATCCTTTAGGACAGACCCTGAAGTTGGAGCCCATTTATCTAGAAATTCATGGGATAACATTAAATGAGGGTTTTCTTGTTTTGGTTTTGTTTTTTTTCAGTGCTGGGGATCCAATTGAGGGTCTTGTCCATACTAGACAAGTACACTACCACCCAGCCATATCCCCAGACCAATAAGGTCTTGTTAGTAGTAGAGTTCTGTTTCCCCATAACCATCTGACTTGCAGCCATTGCCTGGACCACTAGAAGGGAAACCTGCCATAGTCTCTATACTTGGCCTAAAAAAGTCTCAGATAAGGTGTTGCTTAGGAACAAACCATGGTGGTCTGAGCTAATCTTTTGGCTTCTTGAGCTTTCTGGAGACAAGTGGCTTGGTAGTAAAAATAAACTGTAAATGGGATTTATGCTCTGGGGCCTCCAGTGGTGATGCAGGAATGATGCTGATCTTACAGGGCTCCAAGTTCTCAGAAGTTGTCTTAATGCACACTCTGCCTTAGGAAGAGAAGTCATTTTCACCCCATGTAAAATGGAAACTGAGGCCCAGAGAGCTGATTAGTGGAAGAGTCAAAACATGTCAGAGCATGGCTGAAATCTCTGCTCTTGCTCTTTCCACCACCCCAGGTCCCCTGGTTTGGGGGTTGGCCTTGGGGCTGTTATAGCCAAGGTCTATATCTCACAGACCTTGGGACTTGGCACTTGGAATTTGGGATCTCTTTATGGCAGACCCCACCCAGTTCATTGTTTTTAACTTAATTTAAGATTTTACAGTACTAGGGATTGAAACTAGGTTTTCATGCTTGCCAGGCAAGCACTCTACCACTGAGCTATATCCAAGCTCTCCTTTTACTTTTTAAGATGGGTTCTCACTAAGTTGCCCAGGCTTGTCCTGAACTTTCAGTTTCCCTGCCTCTCACTCTCAGGGTTTTAGAGCATAGCTGATGTCTTAGACAAGTCATTAATCTCTTTGGGGCTCAGTTTTCACATCTATAAAGTGGGGGTGTGCACTTTGTCTTGAGAAGGTCACTCTGTGGCTGTGTTTGGGGTAGAAACCAGCCCTTTTCCAGTGGGGCTTCTTCCAGCTGATTTTGTCTACTCTTCATTTCTTTTGTTTGGTTCTGACAGGAGGCTGCTGAGCTCAAAGTTTAGCTCACTGTTTTGAACTTCAGCCCACACCCCTGAAGCAAAATAATCTGCATTCATGTAGCTTAAGTGAAGGAAAGGGAGGTCTTTGTCTCAGCCATCCCACTGTACTGGGAATCCAGACAGCACTGAAACCCAACAAGCAGGCTTCCAGTGAATAGACCTTCTTTAAGGACACTAAGAGTCTGAGAATGTAGGTTCTGTGGTCTCCTCTGTAGGATGAGTGTGCCTGAGGCCATGCTGATGGGAGAACTGCATGTCTTCTGGGGACATTTCTTATTAGTGGAGCACATCCAGGCTGAGGACTTGAGGACAGACCAGTATGTCCTCCCAGCCACACTCTTCAATGGGGATCTTGCTGTCCAGTGAGCCTAGCTAAAGCAAATGGACCAGAGCTCCCTCTGTGGAATGATGCCTGTTCATTCATTCTGGGTTTCCTGGCTTATCTATTTGGGAAGCTTCATGCATATACCATGGTGCTCCCATGCTTAAGTCAGTGGGGTTAAACCATCCTGGAAGCGCTCACAAATGCCAGGTTTTCATTCAACTCAGAAAGTTGTATATCTATTTTTGATATAAAATGTGTTACTAGTTGTGATTCTAGTAAATACCTTGTGGTCATTTCCAAAGTCATCATTCAGTGTGACCCATGGTGAGGGGATCTAGCAAGCACCCTCTGAAGGCCAGCCTTGCCTTGGATGGGTGGGCTACATGTGTGTGTGTGTGTCTCATTCTTCAGAGAGCTGGGTCAAGCTGCCATGTAACACTGAACGCTGTGGACTGAATGGGAATTTTTCTTACAGGGTTAACAGATAACACAATCACCTCCCTAGGGCAGATTTGGGGTTTTCCTTTCCTCCCCTGACTCCCACTACTTCTTAGATGACAGTGTTGTGGCCATAACCAGCCTTTCGCCAGCCAAATCTCTCTGTAGCTGGCTCCTTCAGCAGGAGCTCTGTCCTCTTCTCATCTGTGGCTGAATTTTATCTTTCTCCTCATGTATCGGCTGAAAGGACTCCATCCCTCTAGCTCTAGCACTCATGGCCACAGGTAAATTTAGGATGACCAGGCTAAGGCGAAGAAATGGTAAGGTGCTTACTCATTCTGGGTTTCCTGAGCCAGCCACAAATCCAGATAGTCTTTATCTTTGTCCTGTAGAGAAGGCACGAGGGAGCTGTCAATAAACAGTGTTGTGTTTATTTAAGATGACTTGGATAATTTAAAAGGGAAGCTATACAGAGAAATCCTATCTCAACTTCATCTACCACCCCCCAAAGTGATGGGAAAAATATTTATAGTAAAGTATGTGTGAGTGTGTGTGTGCGTGTGTACATGTTTTGGTTCTTTAGAGACAGGGTTTCACTATGTGGCTCTGGCTGTCCTGGAACTCACTATATAGAGCCTGCTGACCTTGAACTCACAGAGATCCACCTGCCTCTGCCTCCCAGGTGCTGGGATTAAAATTATGTGTCACTGTACCTTGCATGTTAAAATAGTTTAAAACATTAGGTAAAAATAAGATCATGAACGCATCACAGTTGCAGAGAAAAGCAATAAACAAACAAACAAACAAAAAACAATGCCCCCAAAATCAAAGGAGGCATATCAGAAAGGACAGGCATAAATGAATGTTAAATTGTTTTTGCTTTGGGTAGCAAGACTATAGGGGATTCCCTCCTCCCTTCACCATTCAGCCTTTTCTTGTATTTTCTTAAATATCCTGTAATGTTTCTATTAGTATCTCAAAGGAAATCCAATTAAACTTGATAAAGTCACAGATAAACCTTTGGTGAGATTGGCTCTATGTCTTGAATTTGTGTGTGTGTGTGTGTGTGTGTGTGTGTGTGTGTGTGTGTGTGTCTGTATACCTGTGCAGGTCAGAGGATAGCTATAGGAATTGATTTTTCTCTTTTACTATGTTGGTCCAGGTACTGAACTCAGGTCCTCAGACTTGGAGGCAAGCACCTTTATCCTGTCTCACTCACCCACTGTGTCTTAGATTTCAGTGGAGAAGTATAACCAACCACCCTAACAGGCAACACAAGAGTTCTCCTTCCTTGTCCCTCCCTCTGGAAAGCTGGGCGGGACCTGTCCTAGAAAGATAGTTGGTTGTCCTGCATAGAGGCAGAGCTAGGACAAGGCAGCCTCACAGAGCCTCTTCCCACCCACAAACTGTGATTTTGCTCTCACAGCCTCTGCCAAGCGAGAGGCTGAGCCTGGTAACATTCCCCATCTGAGTAAGGAGCAGTAACAACATTTTGGCTGAGATGGAAGCTGTGGGCAGGGATTCTGGATGAGCCTAGCTGATACAGTCAGCCAGCTTTCTGCCTGGTGGGTAGTGCAGCTGCCACTGCTGAGCATCTCATGGGGCTGGCCCATTGGAACACTGATGCCTACCTGCTACAGGGGAAGCATAGTGGTCATGCACTTCTGCAAAGAAGTCCTCTCCTGGGGCAGTGCTGGTGTTGTGATTCAGAGCATTACAAGGATCCTATCCTTTGAGGAAGATGGTACCTACCTGAAGGGAGTGTGGTATCTCTAGGTGAAGACTAGATTTACTACTCCATCACACCCTATAAAAGTAAGTGATGCAGGACATTTTGAGCACTTTCCTTTCAGCTCTGTCTGGCCTGGATCCTCCAGCTCTGCCTTTTCAGGGTACCCGCTAAGTCCTCTGAAGTAATTTTTCTCAACTCCGAAGCAACATACTGTATGTAGTCTGCCTGCTAATCATCTGTCTGGATTCTACTGCCCATTGGAGCAGCAGACAAAATGCAGACAAGGAACACCGTGTTTTCTGCCTTCTGCTCAGGGACAGCCTACACATTGTGGAGCTGGCAGGGTCTTGCCGTCACGCATCATGCTTTTCAAGGATAGGTGTTGAGCTTGGGTGAAGGCATTGACAATCCTGTGTGGGAAAGACTGGTACAGATGTGGGCTCCTGGGAAGGCAGGTGAGAAGGATGTTCTTCCACATCTCTTTAGAGTAGTACTCCGATCTCTGGCTCTCCCAGAGCCTCTTAGCAGGAAGTCCATGAGGCTGGGATGCTGATGAAGGAAGTACTAGGGTTTTTTACTGTGGCCTAATGTATACTTCATGACTTCCTGCTGTCCAGGCATGGCACAGGGGGTTAATATCTCCAGTGGCTCTATTTTGGGGCAAATGGAGTGTTCCCAGAATAGGATTCTTTGTTGAGTAGTCTATTTTGGGAGGCAAGCCCCACTGGCGTTTATGTAAGCATTCTCTGTGTATATCTGGGGGTGTGGATGTGTGCGCAAGTGATTTCTTGTTACTAATTATAAACAGCTTCTTTTGGGAGATGGGGAAGTGGAGGTGTATGTGTGTAAGGGTATGACGACTCCCTCCTTCTGTGAGGAGTATTATGCGCCTTGAGCAGTTGCCAGGGGCACCCTAGTAGGAGAATGAGTGTGGGCACCTTAGACAGAGAGTATGCTGTGTACCCTTTTCTGGAATGTCTGGCTGTGGTGGTGTGTCCATCTGCCATCTTATTAGTCTGCTGAAGCACAGGGACAGGTGGATTTTGTGGCCTCTGTCTACAGTCTGGGACAGAAGGCCTCCAAAAATTGGGACCTGTGTTGTTCTGAGGCCAAGCAACCAGCTCCAGTCTGCGGCAGATAAAGACTGGCTTTCCACCCTGCAGCTGGGCACATACTCACTGGATTCCCCTACGGCTCCCCGCAGGCCACACCCACATATGTCGAAGCAAGAGAGAAACCAAAGACCATCCAGCATGGTCAGTGAGACATCCACAGCTGGGACCACGTCCACCCTGGAGGCCAAGCCTGGACCCAAGGTGAGCCCCTGATCATGGGTCTTCCTGTCCCTTCTGTATTTTTTCCAAGCCCTTTTGTAACCAGAAGTCCATTTGATTAATATAGTTTTATGGGATACACCCATAAAAAATGTTCCCCCCAAATTAAAGATCAGGAAATAAAAGCCAAGAGAGTGGTCCTTGTCCAAGAAAATAGGTAGTTGGTGGTAGACCAAGGCTGGTGTCTGCTTCCTTGAGTGCATTCTTCACTGTACTCTGTTTGCATATGCATGGTATGGGATCCTGGCACTTGACAGATGGGCTTGAGGAAGGGAAATGCATAGAAGTTTTTGTTCAAAATATAGGATCACTGACTTAGAGAGGTGAACCAGACTGGGGGACCAAGTATTGGATACTGAGAAAGTCAAGGACTGAAAAGTGGCTTCATTGCAGAATGCCACAGCAGCAGCTCTTAATGTCAGTGATAAAGTCCCTTAACTTCTCTGTGTGAACCACTTGAGAAGTTTGCTGTGTCTGGGGCTCACTGTTTGCCTGGGAGGGATGCTATGACCAAAGGCACACAGTGATAGAAGGTGCTGCTACTTAGAGGGTGGCAGAGACTGCCATCAGCCCTCCTAACACACAAGCGTGTGTGTGCCCCTCTAAGTCCCTGCTGCTAGAACTGAGGTCTGCTTTTCCTTAGATCACCAAGTCCAGCAGTAAAGTGCACAGCTTTGGGAAGAGAGACCAGGCCATTCGGAGGAACCCCAATGTCCCGGTGGTGGTGAGGGGCTGGCTGCACAAACAGGTGAGGAGGCTAAGGTGGGAGTGAGGAGGAAAAGTGGATTTTGCTTGTTTCTCTCTCCTTCGACCTTGGGAGCAGAGAATAGCTAGAGAAGCTCCTTGTTCAGAATTTGTTTGGGGCAGGTGGGTTCTGCCCACTGTGCCCTATGACCTGTTCATTGTTTATGAGCGAGCTATTTGCTCAAGCGTTGCTGCTTCTCTCCCCAAAACCACTTCACCACTTTGGCCCCTAGTGTTCTTGGTGACCAGGGGCTGGTCAATGGGGTGGGCCGTGATGGAGATAAAGGAGAGAGGGCTGCATATTGGAGCCCAGGCCACAGTGTGAGTAGATGACTCGGCCAGAACCCAGTTCCATGTTCACCCTCTGTTAGCACCTGTCTTGCTAGTGCTTGTGCCTTTATCATTTGGCTACACATGCTATCTTTCCCTTGCCTGGGATGTATGGCTCGCTCTTGGAAGTTCAAATCTGCCAAATTCATCACTTGCTCTCTGCCCCACCCTCTCTCTGTCCCACCCTCTCTCCGGCCACTTTCCCCAGATCTTATAATAAGGAAGAGTGCAGGGGGAGACCTCAATACCACCACTTACTCCTTCGTTTTCCACATCTGTTTAGCCAGGAACCATGGCAGTCCTGTCTCTTGAGGCTATCCTTCATCTTTATTACCCCCATAACTGCCCTCATTGCTTTGTCTTTGATCTTCCAGCCAGCTCTGAGCTCCCGAGTGCAGAACTATGTCTCCTTGGCCCCTTCCTTTTCTCCTGGTCATTTCTTCATTCATTTGCTCCCCGTGTCTGTGCCATGTCTTGTGGGGCTCACATAGCATTTGTGAAGAGGTAAATAAAGTTTCCTCAGGAACACTGCAGTGGGAAACAAGGAAGGCACCTTTTACATCGCACTTTCACCCGTCTCTAATCTGTCCCCTACCAGCGTCTATCTACAAAAGCCAGTCAAACTCCAAGAGCAATGATGCATGCCCACTTGAGGAAAGCATTTGTGAGAAGGGCTTTGCTTTGTACATTGTATAGGAGGGTTCCAGAGGCCCCTTCCCATGGAAGAGGAGTCCCAGACCCCTTCACCTGTCTCTGGTTATATATCTCCTTTCATACTTAAGGGCTTGTCTCTTTTCTTACATGCCTCTCTTTATCTGAGTAACTATCCTACTTGACTTGTTCTGTTAAATAAAGGACACTGGTTGGAAATGTGGCAGGAGAGGGAAAGGACTGTAGATAGTTCTCCCACCTCCCACCCCTTTTTGCTGCCCTGCTGCTGTAATGGGTCTGTTCAGAGTATTGCATACTCACTCTGTTCTCGAAGCCCAGGAAGCAGCATTTGAACCGTGTATGGAGGATGGATTAACGCTCTGCCAGTAAAAAGGAGGCAAATGCTATCTAAACTGTAGAAACCATTTGGCCAGTCTGCAGGCCATAGACTGACCATTGGTTGACATCATTAAGTTAATTTGGTTTGGATACTTTAGTATGTGTTGGGGGGTGGGGAGTGCATGACAAACAAGCCTCATATTGTATGTATAGTTGAAAACTGTTCTTCTATTTTAATTCAAGCCCGCCAAAAAACTTCTGACCAGGAAAGGGCTTTATTTTTATGTGTATGAATATTGCCTGCATGTATGTATGGGTACCATGCTCATGCCTGGTGACCATGGAAACCAGAAAAGGGCCTTTCATCCCTTGAAACTGGAGTTAATACAGTTGTGAGTTATCATGTGATTCTGAGAACTGAACTCAGGTCCCCACCAAGAGCAAGAGGTGCTCTGAACCACTGAGCTATATCTCCAGCTTTAAGGAAAGATTTTTTTGTTTTGTTTTGTTTTTGTTTTTCAAGACCTGGTTTCTCTGTATAATTGCCCTGGATGTTCTGGAACTCACTCTGTAGAACTCACAGAGATCCCACTGCCTCTGCCTTCAGAGTGCTGGTATTATAAGAATGTATTACTACCACCCGGCAGGGGAAAGATGTTTAATCATCTAAACCCAACTCTGATTTTTCCTAGTCATTGGAGAAAACTGGTGTATAATATTGCTATTTTCCTTGTAACAAAGTTTTTTGTTTGTTTGTTTGTTATAGACTTTCATTATGAGTAAATTTGATTACAAAGAAAATTCAGACCTTTACCCTGCATAGAAAGAAAATAACAAAATCAGTCCTGTGGTAGAGAATAGAGTTGATTAGCTGAGAGCTTTATCTCTATTACCTAACTTAAAATTATTTAATACTATGTAGATTCACTTTCTAATCAGAATTAATGAAGATATTTTATAGCCTAGATCTTAAAACAAAACCAAAATACTTCATTTTTAATAAGAATTTATTACCAGTAGTTAACTTCTATTTTTGAACTTTCCTTTCTAGAAGTAAATGGGTTATAATTTGTTCCTAGGAGACCAGAAAATCTTACTTCCTGCGATAAAATACCAGTGACTCTAAGATAATATCTATTTAAAGGGTAGCTATTCAATAAGACATTCATTGAAAAAGGGAGGGAATATAAGCCATAAGTTAGTCTACGTTTAACATCCTGTTCAAAGAGTACCTACTCAATAAGATGTTCATTGGTTTTTTGAAAGTGGGGGAGAATATGGGGGCCAGAGACGTGGCTCAGTTGGGAGAGTGCATTCAGGGCAAGCACAAGTCCAAGACTGGATCACAAGACCACATAAACTAGGCATGGTGTTGCACACCTGCAATCCCATCACTCGAGGTGGAAGTGGAGGATTAGAAGTTCAAGGTCATCCTTAGCTAGGCAGTGAGTTTGAGGCCATCTTGGGCTACACAAGACCATCTCATTAAAAAATAAAGGAAGATAAAAGAGAGCAAAGTAAAAGTAAAAGAGGTTGTGGTGGCTCATGTCTTTAGTCTCAGCACTCAGGAGGCAGAAGCAAGTGGATTTCTGAGTTTGAGGCCAGCCTGGTCTACAGAGTGAGTTCCAGGACAGCCAGGATTACACAAGGAAACCCTGTCCAAACAAACAAACAAACAAACAAACAACCCCCCTGAGTGGGTGGGTGGATGGATAAAAGAGATCTGGGCGTCGGTGGCGCACACTTTTAATTCCAGCACTCAGGAGGCAGAGGCAGGCAGATCTCTGTGAGTTCGAGGCCAGCCTGGTCTACAGAGCGAGTTCTAGGACAGGCTCCAAAGCTACACAGAGAAACTCTGTCTCGGAAAAACAAAAACAAACAAACAAACAACAAACAACAAAACAAAACAAAAAAAAGGATAAAAGAGAAGTGCTGGAAAGTTGGCTCCCTGGGTAAAAGCACACATCACTCTTGCAGAAGACCCAAAGTCAGTTCTTTGCACCAACATCAGTGACTCTTAACTCTAGCTCCAGGATCTAACATCCTCTTCTGTTTCCTGTGAATAGACACACATGCACATAGATGGGGGTGTTAAAAACACATTTAAATGTTTAAACTTATTTTGAGTGTCTGGGAATCTTCCGGCATGTATATTTGTGTACCATGTGCATGTCTGGTACCTGTGGAGGTCAGCAAAGGGTGTTAGATCCTCTGGGACTCCAATTACAGGTGGTTGTGAGTTGCCAGCTAGGTTCTAGAAATTGGGCCTAGGCCCTCTGGAAGAGCAATTAGAATGGCTATGGACAAGTCTTGGCTCTGGAATTAGCTTTACATGGTAGAGGGGTGGAATGTAATAGGTTGCCCTGACTGCTTTTCTGTGCTTTGCAGGACAGCTCCGGCATGAGGTTGTGGAAAAGACGATGGTTCGTGCTCGCTGATTACTGTTTGTTTTATTATAAAGGTGAGCTGGAGTCTCAGGGCACCAGGGCTTCTGTGTGCTAGAGAGACTGGTGAGGGAGTCCAAATGGGACCTTTTTCAAATACTGTTGTTAGAGCAGTGGCCTGAGCTACTTAGCCTGTTGCCCTGCAAAAATGTCCACTGGTGTATATGGTCAGTGGCTTCAGCTTTACCCATCCAGGCCCCAGAAATTCAGGTTGTTGAATTCAACTAAGTAAGATTCAATTATATCTCAAGTGCCCCACTTGACAGTAGGTTACCTAGCAGGCCCCTGGAGAGCTGGGGAACAGAGACTCAACCTGTCTGTGTCTCCTGTGGCATTGGACAGGACACTTGAGTTGAACTGCCCTTTCAAGCATTTATGGAACACTGTATACTGTCAGGGACTGGGCAGTGTAGAACCTCAAAATATGAAAGGGAAAGACAAGTGTAGATTCTGCTGAGTGCCTTTCAAGACACCAAAGCCTATAGGTTCTTCAGGAGAAATAACAAGTGATTGTCATTGGGAATTCTGGGAAGACATTTTAGAAGGCTTAGGATTTGCATTTGGCTTTTAAGGATGGGTAGAAGAGGTGGATGAGGGCCAAATGCAAGGACTGTCACATAAGGGTGGGGGCATTGGGCTCAGTGTTGTGGCCTGTGGAGAGGCATGCATGTCTTTGAGTTGAAAAGCAGCAGGGCTAACTCTGTCATTCTGCAGTGATGGATGACTGACTGACTGGTGAGTGAAGATGGTTGGAAGAAGGGTAGAACAGAGGTGCCACTCTTGTCTCTGCTCCATAGCACGTGGCATACTGTCCTTTTACTGGCAGGGTGAGCAGAGAGTGCTCTCGTGACCCTCTCTCTCTGCCCTCAGGCAAAATGCCCTGTGGGCCTCACTCCTGTAGTTCCGTTAGTGCATAGGTATTGGTAAGCTTTTTGGTATAAAGGAAGGAAACAGTGCAGGCTGGGGAGACGAAGCCTGGACAGGATTCCCAGAATGCTGTTCTGATGCGTTTTTCCATCCAAAGACAGCCGAGAAGAAGCAGTTCTCGGGAGCATCCCTCTGCCTAGCTACGTCATCTCCCCAGTGGCCCCAGAGGATCGCATAAGCCGCAAGTACTCCTTTAAGGTATTGTTCTTTTCCAGTCATTGTCACTCAGTCCATTTTAAGAAGCAGTGTTCTCAGGAACACCTTCATGGATGCAGCTCCTTTTGTGGAATGGGAAAGGAAGTTAGGAGGCTAGAGAGTCGCAGACTCAGGCTAACAAGGTGTATGTGACTTAAGAATAAAATCATGGTCAGGCATGGTGGGCCCACACCTATAATCCTAGTATTTGGGACACAGAGGCAGGCAGATCTCTGTAGGTCAAGGCCAGCCTGATGTGGTCTATATAGCCTATTGGTCTATTCTAGACTAGCCAAGGCTACAATTGAGATGCTCTCTTTATGTTTTATTTTATTTTTTTAAAAAAGGTCATCACCCCAGCAACAAAGTGCAGTCCCTTCTATTCTGTAGCTCAGGAGCATCTCTGAAGTCATTTTGTTCAGTGGCTTCTAGAATTATCTTTGGTGGCTGACTCTTCTTCAGAAAGTCTTCTCTTTCTGGTATAGTAGTTCCTTTTCTGTTGCTGTGATAAACACCATGACCAGAGGTGACTTATGGAGGTGAAGGTTTATTTAGGGTTACTGTTCCAAAGGAATGTGTTCATCACATCAGGGAGGTGTGGCAGACATGGGAGCTAAATTCACATTTTAAACTGTAAGTGCAAACTGGAAGTAGCTTGAAGCTTTTAATCTCAAAGCCTGTCTCCAGTAGCTTTCTCCTCCAGCAAGGCTGCAACACCTCAGACTCATCAGCCCCTCTTTGGAGCCAAGTGTTCAAATACCAGAACCTAGGGGAGACCCTTTCCATTCAAACTGCCACTGGGGATTAATAATTGGGGACTAGGAGACAGCCTTTGGGGTGGCCTTATGGTGGTTTCTCATGGCTGTGTGCAGTTTATTTTCACACTTGATTGTGGGGTGTGAGATAGATGCTGAGAAAACATCTTTTTGTATCCTCACTCCTCCCTTCCATACATCAGCCAGTGGTCTTTCCAAGATCTGATCACATCCTTTTGCAGCCTCAGCTTGGCTCTCTTGGTAGCTTCTCATAGATCTTTAACTGAACACAAACCCCGAATGTGACCTGTGAGACCCCGAGGACCCCACCCTGGCAGCATCATAGCCTCCCCATGTCCCGCTCTTCCCTTTGCTCCCCCAAACCGGCCATGCTGACCTCATCTAAGAAGATGTGTGTACACTAAGTGCTTTTGCTTCTCAGGGTCTGAGAGTCTTTTCCTCTTATCCAGGAGTTGTCTGTCAGGAGGAAGGCAGCTTGAATGTCCATTCTCAGATGAGTCCAGGTTGTGTTCCCCTTTCCCCACTTTCAGAGTGTCCCAAACAGTGTGTGTGTGTGTGTGTGTGTGTGTGTGTGTGTGTGGTGGTGGTGGTGGTGGTGGTAGTGGCTACAGTAAGTATGCATGAGTACACATTGAGAGGCCAGAGCAGGGTGACAGGTGTCTTCCTTTCTCAGTATCCTCCTTATTGTTTAACATAGGGGTCTCTCACTGAACCAGATGCTCACCATTTTGGCTAAGGTAGTGTCTAGTGAGCTTTGGGGATCCACTTGTCTCTGCCTCCCAATGCCTAATAGTGGAGTTGTAGATGCACATAACCACATGTGGTTTTCTATGGGTTCTAGGTATTCAGACTCAGGTCCTCATGCCTGGAGAACAAGTATTTTTACCCACTGAGCGAGCCATCTCTGCAGCCCCTGAACTTGTTGAAAGCACCTATCAATGTAATAATGATAGTTACATTTTAGTGCTCATCCACAGGTGGTTTTTTAGAAGTGTTGTGAGTGGTGGTGGCCTTGTGTAAGGCTGCCCCTCTGTGCTTCCCACATGGTAAACACTCAATAGATGGTGAATTATTGTGTGGGAAGTAAACTTGAGAATCTATCAGTTAGTTGGTAGCCTCTCCATATTCCTTTATTACCCATGTAAGTTCTTGCTGTTCTGGAATCTGATCTTGGGGTTTGAGGAGGGAGGATCTGGGCTTTCTTCTTAGTATCATGTCAGCACAGCCATGTCCTGAGGCAGATTGTTTCTGAGGTAGATGATCCCTTACTCTCATCCCAGTTTCCTTTCAATGTAGCCTGGCTTCTATTCAGTCATTCAGAGTTGCCTAGTGAGGCTGTGCTAGCTAAGGATCCCAGAGCTGAGAGGAAGGGACCATCTCCAGGGCCTCTTGCTGGACCTTGGATGCCTCCTTAGGCATGGAGCACTTGGAGTTCAGGTCACTGGTGATCAGCTAGGCACAAGCCTGCTAGCAACAACTAGAGAGCAAGGCAGTGTGCCCGTGCATGACTCCTATGGTGGCTGCATGCTTGAAGTGTGCCCTAGGCTAATTGCTGGACAAGGCTGGCTCTCAGGGTGCTTGTAGTATAGGGACTTGCTCTTTGGAAAGACTGCACTGGAGACCTCCCTGCGTTTGCATTGATGGGCCAGTGACCCTCTGTGGTGGGCAGAGAATCTTGAGCCTCATGGTCCAGAAGAACCTGTCTAAAGATTTCTGCTGGCACATGGTAAGGTGTGCACTCTTCTTGTTCTTATTGCCAAAGCTCCTGCTTCCTAAACCAGAGGGGACTTCAAGGTCACCTAAGATATATTAAGTGGGGAGATGAGGTTTCTTCTGCTGACATGGGGACCTTGGCTGCAGCTAAGTCTGCCTAGTCTCGCTAGGCATTGGGTTGGGTAGATTCAGACATATTAATGAGAGAAGTAAGCCCATACTTAATGTACACTATGGGACTTGGATGACTAGTGTGGGGAGAAGTAAATGCTAAAAGCTGTTTTCTCTGACTGGTCACTGGTAGGGCCTGCTGTTTGTTCTAGATTCACATTGCAGAATTACCCACATTCTTGCATAGGACCTGTGAGCATTACACAGAGAAGCCTGGGCTGGGAGACAGACTAAGGTTCTAACTCTTCACTCACATTCACTCATTCAACAAATAGTGAGCATGTACCATATGCTGGTCACTATTCCTGGATATAGTGGTGAGCAAAATAGGAAAGTTTCCTTTTCATGTGAAGTTGTAAAATGAGCAGTATCTGGTGATGGTAAGTGCTCTAAGAACTGTTACAGATGTGTTGTATGGGAGAATTACCAAGCCTTTCAGATTCATTACCTCATCTGGAGAACAGTTCTGTCCCAATCTCTCTAGGCTCCTGGGGTTAAAAAGAGACTAAAATTGTGGATATATCCAGGAGCACAGGGTGGACACTTTCACAAAAATTTTCCTTTTTCCATACCATCTTCCTGTGTAGATGGGGTGAGGTTTGAAGTGCAAGACAAACCTCCACCTTCTCAGGCAATTGATTTTGATGTTGTTTCCAGCTGGAAGCCATCCAAGTCACTGATTTTTCTAGACTCCCCACCAGGAGGCATGTGTAGCCTTGGGGGACAAATGCAACAGATGCTGTGGAATTCCCAGTCAGGTGTTGGTCAGCTCTGCCCAGATCCACTGTGTCTTCTGAGAAGACAATAGCTGCTTCTTTAGGCACCATCACTTTTCATGCCAGTGGAAGCCCAGGAGTCTCTAGGTTGTGACATTTTTCAGATGTGAAGACAAGTCTACCAACACTGGAGCTTCATCTAGCGGGAACACAGCCAGAGAACCCCCTTATGCTTGCTAACCTGTCTGTCCTCATGCTACAGGCTGTGCACACGGGAATGAGGGCGCTCATCCACAGCTGCGCCACAGTGGGCTCCCAGGCTGAGTACTCGGGCATGAGGACCTATTTCTTCAGTGCTGACACCTTGGAGGACATGAACGTCTGGGTCAGGGCCATGAACCAGGCTGCACAGGTGCTGTCTCGATCATCACTGAAGAGGTCAGTCCTGATGAAGGGCTCCCAGGGTAGTAGCTAGAAAAATTCCCTGGGGCTGCGGTTCCCCTGCTCATGCTGGGTTCAGCATGGCCGTCTCTCTCAAGTACATTCTAGAACAAGTGCTTCTAGGAGAATGTGCAAAGGCTAGCACATATAGCTCGCCAGGATGGAAGTTTCTCTAGAAAGCATCTAATGCCCTGCTGCCTATGGCTTGGCTGCTTAGGATGCAAAGCCATGGAATTTGACATATGTATGTTCTCAGATTTGTGGTAGAAGGGACAGAGATATTCCAAATCATGTTCCCAAGGTAACCTGTTTTAGATTAATTGATGTCCTTTAAAATAACTTTCTGTTTATGGAATAGATGTGTACAGGTATATGCAGGTTTCTTTCAATCATTCTATTTATTTACTTACTCTGTGGTGTGTGTGTGTGTGTGTGTGTGTGTGTGTGTGTGTGTGTGTGTGTGTACTTATGCCATAGCCACTTTGGAGGTCAGAGGACAGCTTTTGGAAATTTGTTTTCTCCTTCCATGACATGCATCACAGGAATTGAACTCAGGTTGTCAGGATTGGTAGCAAGCACCTTACCCATTAGACCATCTTCTTCTGTGTCAATTTAAAGCATAAACATCCACATTATTTAATACCAGTAGACATATCACTGTATCAGTCTGTATTCTGCTGCTATGTAAGAAAATATATAAAGAAAAGAGGTTTACTCATTCACAGTTTTGGAGGCTGAAGTCTATAAACAGTATGGTTTGGAATCTATCATGAGCACCCATACACACACCAGTTATGTGTCAAAGGCAAGTGCCACCATGATGGGAGCTCCTGCAAGAAGGAGACCAGCATCAGTCACTTTTGCTGCAGCATCTGCAATGACCTAATTGCCTTGACCTGGCACTAAGCCCCGTGCCTTACTCCCATCACATTTGAGATCAGACTTCCAACCCATGAACTTCTGGGATAAAAAGCTCATCCAAACCCTGGTGACTGTTTAATTTGTCACCGGTTGTGGCATCCACTGTGTGGCTGTGTTGTTTTGTCTTCAGACATGTGCAAAGGCTTGGTCAGCTCTGAAGCATGTTTCTTAATGATGTTCTTATAAATAGTCCTATATCAAAACCCCTTACCAGCTCTTCACATGTGAGCTCTTCAGATTGCTGGGTCAAAAAATCACCCCCTTTTTATTTTACATAATCACCAAATTGTCTCTTAAGTACCAAGGTGTGTCCCATTTGTGAATGTTGGCTCACACGTCTTCACTGGTGGTCATCCTATCAGTCTTTGGAATTTGCCCGCATACTGTATAGACTCTGGTTATCAGTTGTTTTTTGATTTTGGATTTTTTGTTTGTTTGTTTGCTTGTTTTTAACACAGTATATCTCACTTTGTAACCCAGGCTGCTTTGAACTCACAGTAGTCCTCCTGCCTCAGTCTCTAAAGTAGACATGAACCACTGAACTCAGCAATATTTGGTTATGTTAATGCTTATGTCCCCGATGGTGAGTAAAGACAATCAGAAAATGCTATTGGCTATAATAGAAAAGAGCTATGACTGAAAGTGCCACACGCCCAGAACTTTCCAGTATTAATTAATTCCTACCCAAAGAATTACAATTGATGTCAGGTTTCGCAAAGGGATCCTTGTCATAAGCATTCTCTCTGAAAATTATACCTTTTTTTTGCTCCTAACAAACTCCTAAAATTCCATCGTATTTTCTCAAGGTTCCTTCCCTTTCAAGAGTTGGAAAAACTCTTGCCTTCTGAGTCAGAATAAAGACACGGTACCTTTTCCCCTTAGCAGCCTGGGAGATGAAATGGTCAACCAAACAGAAACTCAGTAACTGTTTGGGCTTCCAGAATAAGATGTTCAGATATTTGGTTAGTTACAATGTTTTGTTTGGCAGGGGAGAACCTTGCCTGTCCTCCCGTCTGGTGATTTCACTGACCCCCTCCTTCCCTGTTAGTGGTTGTGGCCTCCCACCCCTTCAGTGGTCTCCTGTCTCGTAGTTTTCATCCAGATCTTCTGCTCTGCACTTTGTTTAGGAATGGCGGCATCTATCAATTCTGTGTTGCAGATGACTCTGTGGGGAGGGGGTTTATTGTTTCAGGTCCCTGAAGAGTTCAAGACACAACCTACTCTAGAGCAGCTGGTGTGGGGTTCAGAGACTGTCATCTTCTCAGGCTCTAGGCTGTATTCAGTCCTGGGCTCTGTGGGGAGGTCCCAGGAACATCTGGATCTGAGGGTGAAGGATCTGTAGCACCCCCAGGCTCTGGCCATGCTGTTTGAAGCCCGGCAACAGAGCCAGGAGGGTCTTGCCCTAGAAGCACTGAGATGCACCCTCAGGCTGCCCTCAGCCACACTGAGGCTCTCCACCATCCACAGTGACCAGAGAAGGCACTTGCTGATGCCACTGGCCCTTCAAAACACATGCCTCACCCTCCAGGACAAAAGTGGAGTCCTGTGGTCCGCAGGGACTGAAAGCAGAAATAAGGACTTGTTTCATGGGAAGGCTGAGGGCATTAGACTATGGACCTGTAAATGGCTTGTTGGGATGAGTGGTAGAACACCAGTAGCCATCACCCAGGCTGGCCAATGCACCCCTTGCCTCCTGCTGTAGCATTGTCCATTGTCTTTTTTTTTTTTCTTTTTCTTTTTTTTTTAAATTTTGTGTGTATGGATGTTTTGCTTGTATGTACATCTGTTTGTACCTGGTGCCCACTGGAGTTAGAAGAGGGTGTTAGATTCCCTGAAATTCAGCTATAGATGGTTGTGAGCTGCAGTGTGGGTGCTGGGCATCGAACTCACATCCTCTGGGAAAGCAGCCAGGGCCCCTAACTTCTGAGTCATCTCTCCAGACCACCCCCTATTCCTGTTGTCTCTAATACCTCCTGCCAAAGCTCAGTCTTTGCAGTCTTTCAGATGTGGGTTCAGATTCTAGCTCCCCTGATGTCGTGGTGTGAGAATTGCTTGTATTTTTTCACATCCAGTTTCTCACAGTTCTTAAGACCCTCCCAAGGATTAAACACAGTTACTTAGCTAGTAGCCTGAGATGCAGTCAGTACTCCCTGCCAGGCATGCTGGCTTTTGTAGCTCCTGGCATAGTAACACCATCCGCTCTTTTTTTTTTTTTTTTTTTTTTTTTTTTCCACCCTTCCAGTTTCAGCTGTGAGTGTTTAAGAGAATCACATGCTCTTCTTTGCCGGTGTATCTCCTAGCAGTGTGCATAACTCAGCTCCAGCTCCCTGAAGCTCTCCCTCTTCCTCTAGCCTTGTCCCAGGGAATTCCTTTTTGCACCTCCTCAGCTGCACCTGATTTCCATTATCTTGTTTACTACACAAGTTTCAGATCCTCATGATACCCACCCCACTTCGTGGGTTGGAAGAGGGTTGAGGTCCCAATCCCTGGTCTCTTGGTGTGTGTGTGTGTGTGTGTGTGTGTGTGTGTGTGTGTGTGTGTGTCCATTTCCAAATTCTCACCATCACATCTGAACCTTGTCTGATTCCCTGGGGTCATTTTGATGTCCATCTTCCCAGCTTGTCTAAGAATACATTGTCTTTCCCAGAAGGCTAAGGCACTGAGCAAGGAGGCCCATTTGCATTAGCAGCTCAAAAAACTGACAGCTGAGAGCCTATCAGAGGACACCTCAAGTCTCCTCAGCTTCCAAGCCTTGCTTCCAATCCTGTCTTAGAACTGAAGGAACTTACATTCTAGTCACCTCTTTCCTTGATAGGGCTTTTGAAGATGGCATGTGTGTCTGGTCCCTACAACTTATCTCTTGCCTTCCCTGTTCTCTGTGTCCCAGCCACCTGGATCTCCCTGAACTTAGACCTGCACATTTGTTCATCCATTCATCTTTTATTCTGCAAATATTCATTGAAGGCGATTGATACTGCAACTGTAGCGGTAGGAAAGGTAGTGTCTGATGGCACCTGCATTTGGGAGAAGACATACCATAGTCACTAAGATGACTTTCACTATGATCTGAGCATGGAGGCAGTAAGACAGGGTGATGGAAAGGGTAGATGGGGAGCAGCCACTTTTGAGTGATCAGGAAAAGCCTCTTTAGGGGAGGGCTGTGGAGAGGAGGCCTCAAGGCTGTAAGATGCACACAACTGAGGAAAAGTATATATGGAACATGGAACTAGTGGATGATGTGGTGTGTAAAAGAACTTGCTGGGCAAGCCTGAGTGGAGTTTGGTTCCCAAAGCCCACGTTAAAGGGGAATGGGGTGGCCAGATACTGTGGTATGCATCCATATCTCATCATCGTCGTCTTGAAAGCAGCCCATTTGGTACACAGTAAGTGTTCACTAAAATGCATGGCTTTTTGGCTGGCTGGCTGGCTGACTTGATGAATTATACAGCTGTGAAACTTTCTACCTGTAAATTTCTCAGATAGGCTTGGCATGGGGCTGATAAGGTGGTTCAGCTGGTTGAGGCATTCATGTCCAAGCCTGACAACCTGAGTTCAATTCCCCAGGACCCATGAGGTTGAAGGAGAAATTGTCCTTTGTCCTCCACAACTGCACAGTGATACATTGTTCCCACCTGCACAGTGATACATTGCTCCCTCAGTACCCCCCAAAGAAAAGTTAAAAAAAAAAAAAGTTGGAAAGACATTGTATAATGTGAACACTGCTCTGGGATTCTGTGTAAGGAGCCAGCCTTCTCAGAAATGGCCCCCACATTCAAGCTGTCGGCATGTCAAGATGTCTTTGGCATCCCAGACTGTTCACCCTGGGTGATTTATGGCTGGACAAGCCTCAGCAGAAGTACTTGATAGACACATTTTCAGCCCTGTGTCTACAGGTTTTGGAGTCAGACCTGATGGAGTTGGAGTCCTGTGTGTATCACTGGTGCAGGACCCAGTACAAGGCTGCTGCTCATCCCTCTGAGTGACCCTGTCATCAGCTGTAAGGAAGCTGACAGCCAGCCTGCAGGTTTGGGTGGTGATCAGGAGAGGCAGTGAAGTGCTCTGCTCAGCGCTCTGCCTTGTGAGCAGTCAGCACTCCCATCGTCGCTGTCGCTCCCTTCCATTGGAGATAGTAACCCCAGCTGGGGGTGTCCTCAGCCGCTCAGCATGGCAGAACTGACTTGGCAGTGTTGTTGCAGGAATGAGAGATGGGCCTTGTCAGATTCCTAGCACAGGTTAGACCTTGCATGTATGGCAACGATCGATAGCATCAGCTTTAAAATGTATACCGCCCTGGCTGAGACACTGGGGTTTTCACCTTCACCAGGGATTTTGTCACATGCCACTCTGATGCAAGAGCTGGGTTGTTACGTGTGTTTTGTGACTCACTGGGGAGACAGCTGAAGGCAGCTGAGTGTCCTTAGCACAGGTCAGATCTGCTATTGCTAATTCAGGTAAAGTAGAGCCAGCTGAAGACAGGTGAGAGATTTTCCCTGGGGCAAGGGCTGGGGGCTACGCTGGCTGTTTAACCCCAAGAGGAAGGAATAAAGTGACTCCTGTCTCCACTGCTCCTTCCTCCATGCTAAGCACCAACCAGGGTGAAGGACCTTCCTGCCGGCCTTCCAGGTACTGTGAGGCTCCATCTCTGCCGTCTTTTGTACAAAGCTATGGATGGTGCCGGGTGTGTGTGTGTGTGTGGGGGGGTTCGCTTTGTACCCACCTTCTTGTGAAATTGGGGATCAGTGCTCAGGACTCCAAGCAGCAACCCATCTGGGAAGGGTTTATGCCATCAGCTGTAGACACCTGTGCTCTGGTGGCCAGCCCTGCAAATGACATGGTCATCAGGCATGAGGGAATGCTTGTGCTAAACTGAGCAGTGCAGATTTCTTTCGTGACAGGTCTTTGGATTTGAGAAGTCATGTGACAAATTGTTGGGATTATAGAGAGACTATGAAAAACATGTTTTTGGGGGTGGAGGTTTAAAGGCCCTGAGATAGTAAGTTGTTAAATGTTGAGGTCAGGGTGCAGGAAACTGCTTTCCCACCCGAGCCACAGACTGAACATTTTGAGCATAAAGGTATCTCTTTAAGTCCTGGAAGCCACGAGGGTAAGGAGTTTTGTAACCCCAAAGTCTTAGGGGTGAGAAGAGTGTCAGGCAGCGGGCAGACACTGCTCTTTCAGCCACTCCCTAGAGGTTTATCTTCCAGGAAATTCTGGTGTTAATCCAAATCATAGACTAAAGTCAGCAGCACCCAAAACATGTGGACACAAAGTGAAGGCAAATGTTGTCCGATAGGCAATGGGCAGAAATAGATGTTGGGGAGGTAAGATGTCTCTCAGATATGAACAAAATAAGGTATGAACCAGGGGAGGTGGTGTAAAGGAGGCCTAGGGCCGGCAAGGTGATTCAGCAGATGACATACTTGCCACCAAGGCTGACAACCTGAATTCTGTTCCCTGGAGCTACATGGTAAAAGGAGAGATCCTACTATTGCAAGTTGTCCCCTCACCTCCACACATGCCTCATGACACATAGGCATACACAGACACACAAAAAATAGGTAAACAAACAATAAAAAATTGTAGAGTGAAGACAGAGGTTTCGGTTCCAGCTGGCCCCACAGCTATTTAGACCCAAATGAATACACTGAAGCTTATATTAATTATAATCTGTTTGGCTGATGGCTCAGGTTTCTTACTGGCTACCTCTGTCTTAATTATTAGACCATTTCTATCAATCTATATTTCCACGTGGTCTTGCCCAGGTGTCCTATCTTCCTGGTATATATGGCGTCTCTACAGAGATTCACTTCCCAGAATTCTCCTGGTCTGGTAGTCCTGCCTATACTTCCTGCCTGGCTACTGGCCAATCAGCATTTATTCATCAACCAGTTAGAGAAACATATATTCACAGCATACAGAAGGAAATCCCCCATCAATAGAGAAGCCAGGAAGTGGTGGGGCATGTCTTTAGTCCCAGCACTTGGGAGGTGGAGGTGGGTGGATCTCTGCGTTCAAGGTGAGCCTGGTCTACAGAGCAGGGCTACACAGAGAAACCCTGTCTTGGAAGAACAAAATAAAAAATTATAGAGAAGTACAGAGCAACTTTATTTCCACATAACTTGGGGTGCCTATGGAGAAGGCATTTGAACACTGACAGTGGTGAGCACGACAGCTTTGCTTGGATCTGCATGCCCACAGTTAGACCTGTACACAAGAAGCAGCCCCTCTGCTGGGAATTGCATTTTTCCTGACCCCCTAGACTAGCTTGAATCTACACTCACCCCAGAAAGCTGAGGTTCTGGGTAGTTGCAGGGCTCTGATCACACCAGTGTTCTGCTGTGTGCTCCCAGGTCAAAGTGGAGGTAGATAGTCATGGCTGAGCCATGTATCTGGAGAGTGGGGACTGATGCCCCATCTGAGATCCTGCTCATGTTTCCATCTGTGCTGGAGTGAGTCCGTCTGACTCCAGTGAGCCCTTGGAGGCTTTCAGTGTGGGCAAGCCTTGGTAGAAGAGCCCTGCCCAATGTCACAGAGCCCCTCATCTAGTCCACACCTTTAGTTGCCACCCAGTTCCTCTCCTCACACTTGTCAAGTTTGTGTGTATATGGCAGGGGGGATGAAGGTGGAAAGGCAGAAGGAGGCGGACGATAAAGTGGTGGCCCTGGAGTGGCAGCTTCGGTGTAATAATAGTGTCAGTCCTTCTACCCTGAGGGAGTGTGTCAGGGTGGCTTTCTGGAGGAGGTGGTATTTAAGCCAGGTTCCCACAGCAGTACAAAGGCCTGGGCATGGGGCGGTGGGGCAGGGGTTCAGGGAAAGGGGTGTTCTAGAGATGAGCATGGCGGGAGGGGGGAGGAGGAGAGGGCAGGGGCGTTCCAGAGATGAGTATAAAATGCTACTGGGGAGTTGTGGCGGTAGTGTGGGCTGAATGTGCTCCTGCCGTTACAGGGACATGGATAAGGTGGAGCGGCAGGCCATGCCACAGGCCAACCACACCGAGGCCTGTCAAGAATGTGGCCATATGGGACCTGGGCACTCCAGAGATTGTCCTCATCGAGGCTACGAAGACTCCTTTGGCTTTGAAAGGAGGGAGCCAGAGGAGGAACGCTACCGTTCTCAAAGGGACCCACTGGAAGGCAGGCGGGACAGGAGCAAGGCCAGGTCTCCATACTCGCCAGCTGAGGAGGATGCCTTGTTTGTGGATCTACCTGGTGGGCCCCGAGGCCAGCAAGCACAGCCACAGCGGGCTGAGAAGAACGGTGTGCCACCTGTCTCTTATGGCCCAGGAGAACAAAATGGGACGTACCAGCGGACTGTTCCTCCCAGGGCCAACACAGAGAAACACAGCCAGATTCGGAAGACCAACCTGGCCCAGGCAGAGCACTGGGCAAAGACTCAGAAGGGGGATAGCAGGAGGTCAGTCATGATGTTGAGGTGCTGCTAATCAACATGATTGTGTGTGTGTGTGTGTGTGTGTGTGTGTGTGTGTGTGTCAGTTCCCCACTACCTGCTCAGCTAATTCTCTACCTCTATGAGAATATCCTTAACAGACCTTCAAGGAGGAGTGATAGCTCTAATTTACAGACCAGAAAAATTGGCTTGGATAAGGGAAGCAGCCTGCCTAGGACACACAAATTAGTGGCATGGCCAGAGTTTAAAGTGTGGTCTGAGCCTCTGCCTACCAAGAGGATAGAGATGGCCAGCCAGTGGTGTCAGTAACTGATCGACTCTTACACTACTGCGGGCTCCTCTGCTTCTGAGGAGACCCTCCCTATAGACTCTTGAGGACATTGAGATCCAGCTGTGAACCCCAGATGCCTGGAAGAGTCCAGGGAGGAGCCTAGGCACTACAGACACTTATCCTGTCAGGGAGCACAGGCTGACCCTGACCATCTGTGGCTCTGGAAGCTGTACTGCTTTTGGGAGAAGAGCTGCAGCCTGTTGTCAGAGGTGGGCATAGTGTCATGTATGTCTGACCCATGTGGTGAGGGCAAGTGGCTGGTGAAGAAAGTGTAAGGAAGAACCTCATTCAGAGACCAGGAGGGGCGCCTTCTGGGTTTTAACTAAAATAAATAAATGCCCCTTCTTCCTAGGAAAGAGCAGGTGTCAGCTCTATTTATTTAAATGCTGTGTCTTACTGGAAACAAATAGCTGTGGCCCCAGAACTAAAGGGAGTGACACTGTTGTCCTTGGTGCTGAGCCGATGTTGTGTAGTTAAGACTGTGCTGACCTCATTGTCACTGGACAGAGCACATAGGGGCAGTGGCAGGAAGGCTATTAGACTGCTTTGGTCCACATGGGGAACTGTTTCTAACTTACCCCTGCATTTTGAGATACATCTATATTGCAGTTCTTATTGTTTAACTCTGTTGGAATGGGGTTAGCAAGAGTCTCACATACCCGGAGTCCTGGCATGTTCTGTGAGCTTGTTTTTGAAATTCCAGCTTTCTATCTCTACCCGCACCCAGTGTTTAAAGTATAGTGTACTTGTAAAATAAAAGGTGGGGTGGGGCCAGGGATTAAAGTGGATTTGAGGGAACATAGTAGGAAATGAAAGACCTGTGTGATTGGTGTGGAAGCTAGGATGAAGGGTTTCTGCAGCGAGCATGAGTGGTCACACAGGTTGATCTTAATGCTTTGGCGTGACGGTATCTGGAGCAACTTTTCTCAGGATAACCTGTTCAACTTTTCTGTTCTTAAAGCCGCAGAGCAGGTAAGAGACCAGGAGCTCCTGATCCCTGTCTGCATAAGGCCGGGCTGGACACACATCTGTTGTCAGGGCAGAGCTACCCCAGGAACTGTTCCTGGGACCTGCCATGTCCACCTCTCCATCAGCCAGTTAATATAGCCTGGCTGCAGGAGCCAGTGGCCACCATTATACCAGTATCTGAGGTCACCCCAAATGGCAGACAATGCATAAATGGAAGGCATGGACTGGAGGGTAGGCTCAGGATTTGGGACACTGTTGGGCAGGCTGTGACCCTCTAAACATGGTAGACAGGCACTGCAGAGACAGGAGGAGCTTGGCTGAGACATACTATGCATACTTTTGCCTCAGGCAGAATGAACAATGGTTACAAAGTCCTGCCCTCCAGGGGAAGCCCATGCCTGGTTTCTGTGGGTGTTGCTACAATCAGATATGGGCTTTGGGAAAATGAATGAAAAATCTCTGCCACCTAGTGGCAAGCATAGACACTTGCATGCTGGACAGGTTTGGATTGAAGAGATCTTTAAATTCCCTCAGCTGAGTGAAAAGAAACTGTGGAAGGGAAGCTACCATATTTGGTGGCCCCTATTTCCACTCCTCACAATGACCTAGTCAGAGGCTCTTATCATCCACGTTTTATAGGAAGAGAAGTGAGACTCAGAAAAGACACAGACCTGAGGTCAGACAGGTACAAGTGATTTAATGGGCCATTAGATAGCACTTTTCAACCTTAGGGGCCTGTTTAAACAGGGTCAATGCACTCTGCCTGGAAGTTAGCATTCATAGGCCTAGTGGGGCTGGAAAAAAAATTCTACATTTCAAACTTATATTTTAGAGAGAGTTTTGAACCCAGGGCTTTGTGCATGCTTGGCATGACTCTTAGCAACTGAACTATATTCCTAAATCTGTGTTTAAAAGACTTTTTAGATTTATTTTGCAAGTATGAATGTTTTGCCTGCATGTATGTGTACCATGTATGTTCTTGCTGTCTGCAGTAATACTACCTCACATACAGGCAGGGAAACTGAGGCTCGGAGCACTCAGTAAGTCTCCTGAGATCACATAGCCCATGTATGGTAAAATTCAGATTAGAACCTAGGGCAGGCTACTCCCTACTTTTGCTTTTTGTAGAGAGAAGTTACTGAGGTGGGGGAGCTCCCTGATGGGCAATGGGATGCTCATGGGGTGGGGTGGGGTGTCCCTTCAGCTGCGCTCTGGACCACTGGCCCACCTCAGCCTGGTCTCAGCCTTGGAAGGAGCAGTGAGAAGACAGCAGTATTTCAGAGTAGTAGGTTGTCATCAGATGTTAGAAAGCCCTGAGTGGGGCTGGAGAGATGGCTCAGTGGTTAGGAGCACTGGCTGCTCTTCCAGAGAGCCCAGGTTTGATTCCCAGCACCCACATGGCAGCTCACAACTGTGACTCCATTTCCAGTCTATGTGGCACCTTCACATACACATACATGCAGGAAAATCAACAATGCACATAAAAATAAATCTTTAAAAAAAAGCCACGAGCACCAAGCCAAGGGTTTAAATGTTATATAGACAGCAGGGAACTGAAGGGTTTGGGGTACACTAGAGTCATCAGACCAGGTGACCGTGCACAGGAAATACATTAGGAGGCCATCAGTTGTCTGGAGGGAAGGAACCAGTCTCTGGGTTAGAAGGGTAGTAAAGGGAAGACTCCCGCTCCAGCATTTTCTTTGTGAGCTTCCAGGGTTGGTGTGAGGCTCCCAGGCAGAAGGAGAGAACTGTGAGCCTTCCCAGATCCACACACGTTATTTGTCATTGACAGCTGGCGGGAGAGGAGAGGCTGTCAGAGAAAACTGCCTCTGGGGTCTTCTTCAGCGAGAAGCCCTATGTATTTGCTTCAGTCACTGTTTGGGGTCCTCACAGTCTCCCCAGCAAGCTGACTTTGTGGATTTCCTGAGCCTTACTTGATGGCCTGACATGCTCTTTCTTTCTCAGTTTGCCCTTAGACCAGACACTTCCTCGCCAGGGTCCCAGTCAGCCCCTGTCCTTCCCAGAAAACTACCAGACTCTTCCCAAGAGCACCAGATACCCATCTGGGAGCTCTTCACCCCCTCCCCGGAACCTGCCCAGTGACTACAAGTATGCACAGGACCGAGCCAGCCACCTGAAGATGTCTAGCGAGGAGCGTCGGGCACACAGGGATGGCACTGTGTGGCAGCTGTACGAGTGGCAACAGAGGCAGCAGTTCCGGCATGGCAGCCCTACAGCACCCATGGGAGCTGGCTCTCCAGAGTTCCCTGAGCAGGGCCACAGCCGGAGCATGCTGGAGGTGCCCCGCTCCATCTCCGTGCCTCCATCCCCTTCTGACATCCCTTCTCTAGGGCCTCCCAGGCCCTTCCCACCCCGGCGGCCACATACACCAGCAGAAAGGGTCACAGTGAAGCCGCCCAACCAGAGGAGGAGTGTGGACATCTCACTGGGGACTTCTCCCAGGAAGGCACAGGGTCATGCTATGAAGGTGAGGCCCCAGGAACTTCTGCCAGGTGTCTGGGGTATGACATTGAGAGACAGAGTCACTCACTGGCTTCCTGGCAGCCTACAAGGCAGGAAAAGGTGTTGGTGTCTAGTCAGTTCATTTATCCACAACAACCCAACTGAGGTTTAACTCTCCACGGACCATTTGCTTGCTGTGCCCAGTGAGGAAGGTGGTATGTCCATTTTGGATACCAGGCACCCAGGTAGGTGGGCCTGGAGGTGAATGACTGAGGTTTGCTTGCCTGACCTCAGCCTGGCTTCTCCTCTTCTGTTTCAGAGCTCCTCTCATGTGGACAGGCGTTCCATGCCGTCCATGGGTTACATGACGCACACAGTCAGCGCTCCCAGCTTACACGGGAAATCGGTAAGCGGCCCCTCACTTGCCTCTTCAGGTGATTGACATGCTGTGGCATAGGATACCCTAGCCCATGGTATTTCCTCCCTCAGAGCCCATCAACTGCAGCCCACGGGGCAGCTTTTAACCCCTTCTTAGTGATGAGGAGACAGAGAGGACCCATGGCTCACTCAGGCTTCATAGCAGGCCCTCTAAAGACTGAGGAAAAGTGGAGAACATTGGGCTGGTCCCCTCTTTGGATTTTACTGGAAGTATATTCTAGCTACCTGCTTTCTCCTTTAGCATCCCTCCTTTCTTCCCTGGCTTTCACTGTGATTGGTTAACAACTCTCCCTTGAAAGCTCTCATCCTCCTGGTGAAGCTGAACTGGTGGCTTCCGAGAAAGCAGCTTCTGGTACCCTATGCTGGCGGTGCCTTTATTTGCCCTAGTGACAGAGCCAATGTGATCATTGCCTAGTGGTGTCACATCAGTGTTGTCCTGGCACGGGGTGAAGAGTATAATTGCAGCGGTGTACCCTGCGGTGGCTGACTCCCTCCCGATGTGTCTACACGCCCGCAGCTGGAAGAGCTCTCGCTGCTGCTCACCCGGTTGCAGCGGCACCAGGCCAAGTTGGCTAGTGTGCGCAATTTCGCCGTGGGCCAGTTACTGCACCACTACTTGACCTTTCCTGCCTGCCAGGTCAGCGCCGGTGGGCTCTCCTGGGCCCAGGCAGGGATGGCCTGCCACCCATGTTCCCCCGTGCCGTGTGCTATGGTCTGTCCTGCTGGCTGACTCTCTGCCTCTTCCCTTGCCTGTTTGCTTCTGGGTGCTATAGCCAGTCACTGTGAGCAATGGTAGAGTGCCCCCACCCCCACCCACTCTGGCACAGGGGAGGGGCTGCATGGGGTGGGACAGACCTGAACCTTGCTTCTTGAGCTGTGCAAAGTGATTGCCAGGCTGGCACATGGTCATCTTGTCTAAGAACTGTGCCCTGTCACTCATTGTCACTCAGCCTTGTCACTCGTTGAAGACATGTAGGTCAGCCTGGAGGGGAATGTAGGGCACCTCCTCTTGCAGAACAGCCCTCATCTCTTGCCCTGTTTAGCTTTATAGGAATCTGCATAGGTAAGGTGGGACTAGTTGTTATAATGGGACAAAAGGATCCTGAAGAGGCAGTGACTCACTGCTGTGTCACCAAGAGTTTGCAGGTTGGAGCCAGAATCCCTGTTTTAGTGTTAAATGGCATCACGGCCTTGGGTTTAGAATTGAGGGTGTTGCTCCCTTGGGCTCCAGGAGCAGTTAAAGAAAATAGACTCCTTCTTGTCTGTAGCGTTGTCCTTGGGCAGTGGTGGTTCAGCCACATACACCCGGTCTCTCCATGCATCACAGAGCCAAGCAGAGGACAAATGAGGGTGCTTGTATTGTCAGCTTCCTTCCCTGACCCCTTTTAGTAAGACTTGAAGGACCCAGGAAATGTAATTTTAAAAAATGAGTGTAAGAATGAACATGTTAAAGACAAACAAACTTAAGTTCAAAGTCATCACTGAGTTGATGACTCAGTGGTTAAAGAGCTTGCCATGAAAGTGTGAAACCTATAAAAGCTGGGTAGGTGTGGCTGCCCTCCTGTGATTCCAGCCCCAGAGCAAGACTAGCTGTATCAGTGAGCTCTGGGTGATTGGGGGACCCTGCCTTATAAATAAGGTGGAAGAACAATGGAGTGCTCACGCATATGTGTGTGCCCCACACATGCAAAAACATGCACACATGCATACCACACACAAAAGGGAGGGGGAGAAAGCCTAAATCATGAATTTGATTTTAAATAGCATGTCTTTTCTCCTGTTCAAAGTGTGTAGGGATAGTGACTTGGGGAAGCGGGGTGGTAAGGGAGGCAGTATAGGGAAAGCCTATGCAAGACATGAACATCCCTTACAGATAGGGCTTTCATGCCTAAAGCACTGTGTGAACTTCTCATGTGTATGTGGGTGATGGTTTCACACTAGAATTGTCTATCTTCCCCATCCTTGGCTTGCTCAGCTGGAGGCCCTCCGTCCACTAAGAACATGGTATCTGGACCATTCTTAAGCTCTTGCATCTCTTCTGCTTCAATTAGCTTCTGTAATCTATTGAATGGGAGTGTGATTTGTGGGCAGCCTTATTCTCAATAGTTACACCGAAGAGCTTGATAGACCATGAGAGACACCATAGACAGTCTTATCCAGGAATCCCTTCACTAGTTCCTAGAGTGGCTGCTTTGGCTTCTTGCTGAACAAAAAGAGCAAAGTTTCCAGGCTACTTGTAGCAGCTGCTACTTATCCTCCTGGAACCTAAGGTCTTACTGAGAACAGCTGGATCAGCCAAGCTGTTTCTCTTTGCCTATTCCAGCCATCCATCTACATCATTTGGAATCATATTACTTCATGCATGTGAGACAGCCCAGCCCAAAGTTTTGATGCCAAGAATTAGAGCAGTGGTGTCAATGGGATCCTAGCTTTGGGTGTGACAAGTGCTCTCCCAGGCAGATCTCCTGGTTCTGCCTCAGGAGCCCAGCATCCGCCTCATCTGCTCTATGGTCCTAGCCCTCTTGTTGGTTCCTCCCCATCAAACCACAATGGGTGCAGGGATAAGCTGGCTTTCCTCATGGTGACCCAAAGCTCTGCCATGCTGTAAGAGGGCTCTGAGTTGCAGCAAGACATCTGTGCTTTCTCCATGGCCCATTGTGTTGGTCTGCTGTGGTCCCATGTCTCCAGAGTTGTGTAATGTGAATGATCTACTTGTGAAGAACCAAGTGTTTTAACTCCTAGTGTTCGTAATTGTTTTTCTCTTGTTTTCCTCTCTGCTTCCTTGGAAGGCTGATGACACCTACCTCCAGCTGAAGAAGGACCTGGAGTACTTGGATCTAAAGGTGGGTGATAGGGCTGGAGAGATACCTCGGGTTGGGAGTACTTGCTACTCTTGCAGAGGACCCAGGTTCAGTTCCCGGCACCCACCACAGACAGTTCACCACCACCTATTATTCCATTCTAGAGCTCCAATTCCCTCTGGCCTCCACCTGCACCCTCATGCTTATGGTACAGTCAGCTCACACAGGCACACACACTTCTAAATAAAGATAATCTTTGAAGGTGAGTGGCATCAGGATCTCACCTCCCATTGACACTCATATTTCTGAGTGTATTAGCTATTGAAGCCCAACATTCATGCTACAGACACTAAGTGAAAACTCATGTCTGAATCAAAACTTCATTGTTTATAGTCTGATTATTGTGATTATGCTTGTGAGCCCTAGTAGGAGGTCTCTGGCTTAGAGAATAAGGGTCATGATTTTGATCTTTTCCTTCTCTTGGTTAGACCCAGAGGTTCCTGGGAAATAGTCATTGGCTTCCTCAGAGCCTTTGCTGCTGGTGGGATTGTGTTTGGCAGTGGCTGATGTGTGTTTTCAGCCACAAGTGGCTTGGTGGGTCTTTTGGGTTTGTTGATGAGGAAGCAAGTTCCACATAGAGCCATGGGGCTCTGAGACCCATACGTAGGCTCTCCCTGTTAAGCTGAGCTCTAGGAGCCTGTACATGCTTAAAGCTCAGGCTCTGGCTCAGCCTTCACAACAGACCTGAAGGGCTCTTGGGGAATTGGGACATGTTCTTCCATGGAGAAAGCTGCTACCGACTTGCCACTACCCTGCATATTCCCTCTGAGGACAGTTCTTCTCATGCTGGGGCTTGGAACAGACTGGAGGAGAGTAATCTTAGCTAGCCCAGGGAGGGAAGGAGCCTATGGACCATGCTTATCTGCACTACACTGGCTTGAGATATTTCTAAAGCAGGGATCTTCTTCCAGCCTCATGGGGCTATAAATACTAGCACCTAAGGTAGCAGATGGAGTTTTCCTAAGCCTACAGCCCACCAAGACCTTTGGTTAGATATCTCCCAGTTCACTTATGCATCTGTTAAACACTTGCTGTATGCCCAGCTGTACAGAAGACAAGGACAGTTGCAAAAGAAAACTGAGGCCCTAGTCATAAGAAATTTCCATTTAATATTGCTGGGGAAAGAAAATATTACCAAGTGATAGTATATACAGTGATCATACAAAGATTTATTTGAGCCAGGCAATGGTGGTGCACATCTTTAATCTCAGCGCTCAGGAGGCAGAGACAGGAGGATCTCTGTGAATTCAAGGCCAGTCTGGTCTACAGAGCTAGTTTCAGGACAGGCTCCAAAGCTATAGAGAAAACCTGTCTTAAAAAAACACACACACAAAAAGGGGGGGGGGTTGTATTCTTTTGTTTGTTTGTTTTTAGCTAAATTCTGAGTTGGAGTCATGAGAATCCCTATGGGCCATGGGAAAGGATTCTGAGGAAACAGGAAGCATGTGAACAAAACTTTGAGGAATCATGGCTCAGAGTAGTCATTAGGAAGTTGGTGGGGACAGGACCAGAGTGAATCAAAGAGAGGCAGGGCACAGTGCTGAAATTAGAGCCATGAGGTGAGATAGAAACATCATGTGACTCCTGATTCTGTCATAGGCCTAGGAGGGAAGGCTAGGTGAGCACAGAGATTAAAAGAGGAGAAACCGAGGCACAGGCTTCAGAGCAAGAGTTCCTATTTGTCCAGACTCCAACAGAAGCTTGAGAAGTGATTGCCCGTGTAATGTGTTTTACTTTATTGCGTTAGCTTGCACAGTAGCCCTATAAGGGAGGTAAATTACTTTCTCAAGGCCACACTGGAGACAGAGGTAAATTTGGGTCCAGTGCTTACTCGGAATCTCACATTCACCTTGCTACCAGCCTTTAATAATGTGTCATTTGTGCTGCTATGTTCCCAAAGGCATTAAACTTTTGGGAGAGCCAAGCTTGGATTCCAATGGCAGGGAATGGATTTGATAGGCTGGAGAGGCAAGTTATATCCAGGGGTGTTTTTCTAGCTAAGAGCAATGTCACCTGAGGAGGTATTCTGGATGCTGACATTGTCATGAGAACAGCTGGGCTTGTAGCCAGATTTTCCTGGTTGTGTATCTGCTACTGTAATTGTTGAGCTCTTCTCAGGGAGCTGGTCCCCGGATGAAGCTCTCGTAGCTGGAGGAGGCTTGACTCTCCCACTACCCATGTGAGAGAAGATACTAGACTGTGTGTGCAGTGTTGATCAGAAGGGCTCGTGTGCCTCCATGGCTCACACCAGAGGGCAGGGACCTGCTCTGCCCTGCACAGACCCTGCTGGGATATGGATTCTAAGAGGAGTGGCCAATTGGAGGACCCAGGGCCCAGGGTTGAGGGCCTGCAGATGAAAATGTTTACAGATGTTCAAAGCCTAAATCAATCTGCTAAGTCTAAAAGTGTTCCAATTCCCATTGTCTGGGGTAGTGGTCCAGGGGGTTAACCACATGTCACTGCTTTGCTTACCTTGAATACTGATATCCTCTTCCCCAGGGAGGATATCCATGGTGGGAAGTTCGCCTGTGAGAAGACTCACAGCGGCAGCTGCACGGCTGCCATGCAGTGGCTGGCTGCCATGCAGTGACAGGGAGTTAGGGCAGCTTGGGAGAAATGGAGACAGGTTGTGGGACTCTGGTGGGTCACCCTGTGTTATCTATGACTCTAAAGAGGATTGAGCCCAGTAGATGGCAGCTACAGGCAGACAGGGTTCAGTTGGTAGAAATGCTTTTCTGAAAGGGCCTTCTCATAGTGGTGAATGTCCTGTCACTGGGCTTTGTGGACTGGAACTCCAAGACCTATTGGTTCATTGATGCTATGACATGCTGGGCAGAAGGAATGTCCTCAAATGAGGGGGGTGTCATTGTGGTACTGCAGGAAGAGACAGAACAAAAAGAGGTCACACACTCAGGAAAGTGGGTATACTTGAGTATGACCCGAAGACCGTTCTGGCATGGGAGACAAGCTCGGCCTCTTTAGGATCAACTTCCTGTTCCTGTGCATGTATGGCAAGCACCGTGCCACTGAGCCATACTCAACTATGTCACCAACTCTCGTCTTACTATTTGTTTTAAGACAAGGTCTTACTATTAATAAATTCCCAGACTAGAGTTCATTTTGTAGCCCAGGCTGGTTTTGAACTTGCACCAGCCTCTCAGGTAGCTGGGATAACTGGCCTGTGTCATTAAAATCAGCTGTGTGTGTGTGTGTGTGTGTGTGTACAACCCAGGGTCCTGTGCTTGTCCCAGCCCTAGAATGAGCTTCTCTAGAGGCTTCCCCTTCTCATATCTGATCTGCTGATCCCCTCACTCTGCTGTGTTGACTTAGGCTTTTTCATGTTCTTGTCCCAAGAGCCAAAGATCCAGGGCTCATCCACCCCTCTGATCAGCTCACACTCCAGTTTCCTGGTGGTGGTTTCTTCCTAGCACCTTGGGTTGGTTTTCCTCCTTCAGGTGATCAGATGAAGGTACTTCGTAGAAGATGCTCTTAGCTAGTTTGCTTCTCTGGCCTTCTTTCTCTTGGTGATGCCAGGGTAGAAAGGACTGAGCAGTGGTGAAACTTCTGTTCTGCCTGGCAGTGTGGGCACTTGATTCATTTGTATTTTAATTCTCTCAGTAGCCCTGAATAATGGGTATTGCTGTCCCTACCTTGTTAACCAAGGACCTGTGTCTCAGAGGTGTTAAGGAACTTTGAAGAAGTCCCTTAACTGGCACTGCCTTCAGCCCTGAGTTTGTCATCTTTGGGCTGTGTTTCTATCATGGAAATTCTGCTTCTCAGAACCTGCACTCCATTGGTTGGCTTCAAAGAGTGGGCTGTGTGGTAGGGTCGCTGTTATCCATAGTATTTAAAAAATCTATTCTTTTAGATAGAGTCTAATGGTGTTGCCAAATTTGTTCTCAAGTACCTGAACTCCTGAACTATGGATGTGTGCCTGTGCTCCTGACTTGGAGTTATTTTTATACAGCTGTGAAACACATTCACACAAGGCTGAGCAGAGTGTGTTCGGCTGCTTGGGCGATATCTTTGTAGATACAGAAGGTTGCCTTCAACCCCAGGGAGTTCCCAGGGAGTGTGCCTTTGTTGGCTTCACATCTGTAGCACTCTGGGCTCGCTCTGACAGTTTGAGCCTGAGATCAGGGCTTGTCTATTTACAAAGTCAGCTTTTGGGACAGTTTTTTTAGGTTGTTATCTGGGACATCAGCTATTTCTAAGACACTTAGGAACTTGATTTTTAAAAATACAGAACAGGTATGATGATATACACCTGTGGTTCTAGCTTCTTAGGGGACTGAGACAGGAGGATCATTTGAGCCTATAAATTAGAGGCCAGCCTACAGATCATGGTGACTTCCTCCCTTAAAAATTTTTTTCCAACCTTTAATTCCAGGACTTGGGAGGCAGAGACAGGAGGAACTCTGTGAGTTCGAGACCAGCCTGATCTACAGAGTGAGTTCCAGAACAGCCAGGATTACATAGAGAAACTCTGTCTTTAAAAAAAAAAAAAAAGCTGAACATGGTGGCTCACACCTTGAATCCCAGCACTGAGATGCAGAGGAGGGTGTCTCTGTGACCTTGAGGCCAGCCTGGTTTACATAGGGAGTTCCAGGACAGCCACCAAAGCTTCCATAGGGAATTTGCCTCAAAGAACAAATAAACTTCAGAGCCTGGCATAATCCATGCCTATAGTTACAGCACTCAATAGGTAGAGACAGAAGGATTGCCTCAAGTTCAAAGCCAACCTAGGCAACATAGTTCCAGACTAGCCAAGGATACATAGACATCGACTCAAAAATAAATAAATAAATAAATATAAATAAATAAATAAATAAATAAATAAATAAATAAAAGTAGAAGCAGAGGTTGGAGGTAAAAGAGGTAAAGGTGCTTGCTGCCAGGCCCCATGACCTGAATTTGATCCCCAGGACCCATGTAGTGGGAGAGAACCAACTCTACAAGCTGACCTCTGACCTTCACACATGCTCTACAGGGTGCACACACAAATAAATGTTTTGTTTAAGGCAAATCTGGAGGTTTCTACTGAGTTAGCACTCTTGTGCTAAGAATCCTAGGCTCAAGCTCTGATGTGACTTTTATACACACTAAAATTTGAGGTCTGCCATTCAGCAACAGAGATTACTAACCCCAGCTGTGAGCTAAACCACTGGAGAACTTGGAAAATACACATCATTGCATGAGTTTCGCGCTTAGAGACTCTGACTTAATTGGAATACTCAAGCATTACTCTTTAAAAACCAACCATGCAAGCAAACAATTCCTTGGATGTTTTTAAAATGAAGCCAAGGTTGAGAAAGATTGCCTCAAAGTGGTTGTTTTGTACTCTTTTGTTTTTGTTTTGAGACAAGGTCTTGTCTATCCCAGTTGTTCTTAGAAGCCCAGTGACCTTGGATTTGTATTTTCCTGCCTCTGGGATTGTAAATGCATAAGTGTCTGGTTTATGTGGTGCTGGGCAGAGCTCAGGGCTTTGTGAAGGCTAAACAAGCACTGTACCACCTGAGCTACACCTCCCTCAGAAGTGGTGGTTCTCAAAGTGTGGTCTCCAACCAGCTACTGCAGCAACACCTGGGAATTTGTCATGAATGCAAAATCTTGAGTCCTACTCCAGACCTGCCTCTGGCATGGAGCCTGAACCTTCAAGTTGGAGAGCCACTATAGGAATCCTGATGTCAGTCCAGAGGTATAACTTGGGGTAAAATAGCTGTCTAGTATACAAGAGGCCCTGGGTTCAATTGCCAACCCTTTAATAAAAGATATAACTTCTATTAGCCTGGGATCTACCCACCTGGAGGGTAGGGACAGTGGTTCCTTTCTCTCTTTGCATTTTTTTAATGTGTCTGTGCATGTGCGCGTGTAGAAGTGTGTGTGTGTGCATATGGTAAGGCTGGAGTTGTGTGTGTGTGAAAGTCAGAGGACCTGCAGAAGCAGATTCTTTCCTTCCATGATGCGGGTTGCCGGGATTAAGCTCAGGTTCAGTGGCAGCATTGCCCACTGCTCGGTCTCAAGAACCTGATAGACTTTTCAGCACCAGCTCTAAGCATTTGGTTAGTCCTGGATGTTTAGTTGCACCACATGTATAGAGGTGAGATTCAAGGACTTTCTGTGGAAAATAATTGTTAGAAATGAAACGAGGCATGGAGCCACTCAAAACCAAGCTTCTAGGTGTTATAGAATGTGTTGAGGGAGGCAGGAAGACACTGATCTCTTCTGCCAGGCTTCCCTCACCTTCCTCAGCAGATCTAGAAAGGAAATGAGCCAGGAAATGGACCTTATGCATGGTCAGCCCACATAGACTCCCTTCCCCACAAGTAAGCAAAGCTGATTAGGCCTGTTCTTCAGAGGCAGGTGGCAGGGAAGTCCCTACCTGGGAGCTCACACACCGAGGCTGTCTTAACTGTCTGCACACCTCACCTCTGAGGTTCCCCTTTGCCAGCCCCCAGACTGTGGCTGCTTCAAGTGTCGTTGGATGTCTCACCTGTTACGTTTTGTTGTATTTGCCTTTCTGTTTGGAACAGATTAAAAATAATGAACCTTTGATCAACGTGCTTTACAAAGTGCTGAAGAAGTCAGCACGGGGCTGTCGGCCCGGGAGAAGCGTAAGATGATCGGATCCGTGTCTCCAGGCGGGGCCATTCCATTGCTTCTGGCTCAGGGCCAGCATCATCACTTGCTTAAGCAGTTGCTCTCCTGACGCCCCTCGCTTCCTGCAAGTCATTTCAGTTGATTTTCTGTAACTCCAAGCTCTCTTCAGCATTGTGGCCAACGCATTGGGCTGAGCTGCTCATCTGTGTCCTGTGGCTCCATCTTTTGTGTTGCAGAGGGATGGGGAGCTTGCCTGGCTTGCCATCAGCTTGTGTTGTCTCCATCGTCATGTGTCTGCTCCACACAGATAGGCCTGAGCATGAGTTTCTTGGGAGGGAGCAACAGTTCCTAGCACTTTAGAGAAGCCATAGGTTCCACTGTTTCTGCCTTCGCTGGAGCAGAGTGTTGACATACAGATATCAGTCTGGAACTGGGTGGCCACCCTTTAGATGGTCTCTTTTGCAATGTAGCCAGCTCTTAGAACATTCTGAGGAAGGCTACAGACTGGGGGAGGAAGGTGTCATGTCCCGATGTGGTAAAGGAGAAGTGGGAGGGCCCATGGACCCTGAGGCTCTTCCCATGGAGAGATCTTTAAGATAAATGAGGACCCAAGGCTTTTGATTTTTCTGGTGACAGATAATGGGGGTACCTGTTGACATTTTAAGTGGATATAAATACTGTTATCACAGAGCACAATTTAAAAAGGGAAACTTAGCTGCCACAAAATACCTGTGGCTGTAACTGATATTAGAGCATCCTTTCTCTGGAACAGAGCAAAACTGAAGGACCTCTGAGCTGTAGAAGAACTTTCAGGAAGCTGATGCCCTATAGCCTGTGACCTTTACTCCATTGGAAGCCAAACTAGCCAGACTGATTTTGACATGTTCATGAACTCACCCAGCAAACATTCTCTGTATCTCCTCCATATGCCCGGTCCTAGCTGGACTTCAAGGATAGAAAATACATCTTAGTCTCCTAATGTGGTTAATATGTCTGGAGAGAACTGAGCAAATGCCATTGTAATCCAATACTCCAAGTACCACAGTGGCAATAGACAGACACCCTGTGAGAGGGCACCTTGAGGGACACTAGACCCACTCAAAGGGAAGAAAGAAAGGCAAGCACTCCCAATATCTTCTAAACGGCACATTAAAGAGGACAAAAGAGGCAATGTGACTATCCCTGGGCAGAGAGTTGGGGAGGAGAAAGAGAGTCTCTGAGGACAGCACCGAAGGGCACACTTTCAGAGGGGATGCCACCAGAAAGCTTAATTTAGAGTTCACTTTCTCAGAATGCCTTTGTGTATAGACACCTCATTTCTTCCCTGATGGTGCTAGATAAATGAGGCATTGCTCAGTTAGATCCTCTGCCTTATTTAAGCATCAGAGGCATCCTCAATAAAAAATTTCAGAGGAAAGGGGGGGGAAGAGTTTGCCGGGGGAAATCCCCAGAGTGTGCCTCTATTTGAAAGTGATTTCTAGCTGGCTAATGAGCCTGGCCAGCTTCTTCAGAGAAGAAATCAACTTACAGCCCTCCCTTTGTGAGGGATCATTGCAGGGCTCCATATATTCTAACTGTGCACATACATGTACACATACTCTTACACAGACACCAAGAAGTTCCATGAATGCTTGCTGAGCGCCAGGCCTTATATTTGGGTGTTACCACAAAATAAGCAAGGCCAGGGTCCCTGCCCTCTGCTGTGTGGCCAAATGGAATCAGTCCTCAGCTCAAAGCAAGAAGTCATTTGATGGGGGTAATGAGATGGCCTAGTGGTTAAGAGCACTGGTTGCTCTTCCAGAAGACTTGGTTTCCATTCCCAGCACCCATGTGGCAACTTACAACTGTCTGTAACTCCAATTACAAGAGATCAAACACCCTCCCTGGCCTCCATGAGTACACATATCCATGCATATGGTACACACATACATATGCCTACATACATGCAGACAAAACACCCATAATGTAAAATAAATAATATATTTTCAAAAGAAGTCATTTGATATTGGCTTGGACTTGCTAAGGTAGAATGTAAGACAGTTGGGCACATGGATGTGGTTAGTCTGAAGGGAATGATTGCCAATAAATTTTGACTCCTGATTCACACTAGCAAACTTCTTGGTCCTTCCAGATGGAGTGGGGAGAAAAACACAGGCTAACTCTCTAGCAACTGTCTGTCTATCCATCCTAGGGCCTTCTGCCTAGAACACACACACTACCCATCTCTGCTATGGTTATCCTATTCTCCATGTCCACTTATCCGAGCTTCTAAACAGAATAGAGATGGGCTCAGGATTTGAGATGCATTACACCTGACTTTGTCGTGGCTGTGGGAACCTACATCTATATAGCCTATGGCAAGAAGGTGCCTCGGGCAATGGATAGAGTGTTAGAATCAGCTTCTTGGGTCTCAATGAAGCAGGAAGGCAGCAAGCTGCCTGCTTACAGCTGACTGGGGGTGTGAAATGGGAATTGTGGGTGACTTGTCCATTGCTTTGTTGAAATGGTAAGGCAGCTTGTGACTTATGAGTACAGCCAAGCCTTGTTGTCTAGGTGTGCATCTAAAATCACTAGCTGGACCTGTCCTTTGCCTGAATCTTTTAGCAGTGTAGGGTGAGGAAGGCTGGCCTTGTCCATGGGGAAGGGGGTTTCTCTGAGACTGGAAACAGGCAGGGTAGTTTGTTCCTAGGTACAGTAGCAGGCCTCTCTTGTCCTTGGCAAACCAACGAAGACCCATAGAAATGTGTCATGCTCATTTTGGGCAAACATCTTTAAAACTGATAACCCTATAACTTGAGCACCTGCATTTTCTTAATTTGATAAATTTAATAGTGCTATAGGATCAGCAAAAGGTTTTAGTTTTTCCATTAAATGAAGTAGGCAATAAAACAATGCAGATAATTCTTAAGTTTTTGCCCATTTTGTGCCATGAGCCTCCGGCCTCTGCTGAGACTTCCATCTCCATCCACCATAGGACTAACTTTCCTTCCTGAATTGTGGCTCCACACACCAACTTAATCATTAAATTATTCACCTCCCAGATGACAGGCCGAGATCTTCTTAAGGATCGAAGTCTGAAGCCGATGAAGATCGCTGAGAGTGACATTGATGTGAGTTACCAGTGACAGGCTGGCTCCTCGGCCATCCTGACTGGACCTGGGCAGTACTCCGCAGGGTTCAGGTGGTGCTCTGGCCAGAGGCTTTCTGCTTTTATTCCTGAGCCCTGTTCTCACTCCCCATTCCTACCCCACCCCATCCTCTCCAACTGGTTCTTGCTTATAGGTCAAGTTGAGTGTTTTCTGTGAACAAGACAGGATCCTCCAGGACTTGGAAGACAAGATCCGAGCTCTCAAGGAGAATAAAGTATGCATCGTCTTTGCATTGTAGTGGGGTGGGTGGAGGGACTTGCAGTCACTCTTGTGTTTGCTTACACAGTGTTTGCACTCTCGTGTTAGCATTAGTCAACAGAGGGAAGGGGGTGGGAGTGTAGCTCAGGTTATAGAGCACTTGCCTAACATGAGCAGCCCCAGCTTCCATCCTCAGCATCATATATAAAACAGGTGTGGTCAGCACACACCTATAACCCTAGCGCTTGGAAGGTAGACTCCAGGGGGAGTTGGGATTTTAAGGTTATACTCAGCTATGCAGTGCTTGGTCCTGTTTAAAAACTACAAGGAATAAATAAACAACAGGGGTTAGTACATTCAGCCTTTTTTGTGTAAGGGTGTTTGTGTAAGGCCTGCCCTCCTTTTAGGGAGGGCCCCAGTCTGCTTGGTTCAAGTGCCCCTCATTCTGTTCTGGCCCTTGTCTCAGCCTGGGAGTCTGAAGCACTGTCAGGTCTGATGGCTTGACTTGTGAAACCCAAAGGTCTGCCTTGGAGAAGGTGGCCTTGTCACAATGGGTCAATCCTTTCACTTGCTTGGGTTCCTTTTCCCCAGGATCTAGGCTATAAGGCAGCAAGTCTAGATGGGAGGAGAGGAGTAGCTGGGACCACGGGGCCACAGTCGGAATCTCAGAGTGACTTTTTTCCCTTTTGTGTATTCGTGGTATTGAAGATCTGTGGCATGCCTTTTTTCACAAGAGCTTGCAAGGCTTTTCTGCCATTTCTTTCATTTGTTTCCATATAATCTGTAAGGAAATGGAAGGTTCTGCACCCACCTTGTAGATAAGAAAACTGGGGTGTGGGGATTTTTGGAGACTTGCCTCCTGGGCCAGTCTGAGCTGCTGTCTACAGCTCTGTGTCTTTGCTCCAGCTCAGCTCCGGCCTTTTTGGCCTCAGTTGTTTGGTTCCTCAATTGGGGACAGACCTACCATCCTCTTGCTCTTGACTCTTTCTGGCACAGGACCAGCTGGAATCCGTGCTGGAGGTGCTGCACAGACAGACTGAGCAGTACCGAGACCAGCCGCAGCACTTGGAAAAGATCACTTGCCAGCAGAGGCTCCTCCAGGAGGACCTCGTCCACATCCGGGCAGAGCTCTGCAGAGAGTCCACAGTATGTAGAGGGTGAAGAGGTGGCAGGGACCTCACCCCTGCTGTTGAGAACTCGTCTCCACCTCCCGGTGGCAGGTTGTCCAGGGGCAGCATGTCTGCCTCCTCCCTGTAGGCTTCTTTTCATCAGGGTAGTTGAGGGAGACCAGTTTTGTGGAGAAGTCTTCAGGCTGTATTCTAGTCTGTGCACAGTGTCAGAATTTCTGCTGCTGCAGCCGTCAACCCAATGTGATGCTGACCGGGGCAGGGAGGGAAACCATGTTGGGGTGGGGAGTGAGCAGCACAGGAGGCCAGGGTCATCTTCTCCCATCTCCTTTCCACCAGGCTAAGTCTTCTACTTCCTGTTTACCTGCTGGGAAGCAGCTTAGGGGTGGGTGTCCTCAAGGGGACTGGGCTGGGAAGGGTCAGGGTGAGGGGCACCCAGAAACCAGGAGTATTTTCTTGGCCAATAGGAGATGGAAAATGCCTGGAATGAGTACCTGAAGTTGGAGAGGGATGTGGGACAGCTGAAGCAGACCCTGCAGGAGCAACACAGAAGAGCTTTTTTCTTCCAGGTGACCAAGAAGGAGGGTTGTCACCTCCCTCAGCTCGCCAGCCTCCTGTTAGGCTGTGAGCTCTGCCAAAAAGCCACCCCAAGCTCTCCCTTGGGGATTCCTTCTGCCATGATGAGAAGGCTCACCTCAGTTCCCCTGCTTCTTTGCTCTCAATGGCCAGCCCTCAGTGTCTGGGGAAGAGCTGGTCCTTTAACAGAGCGGAGCCAAGAGGAGCCCAGCTCAGCACCCATTCCCACCTGCAGGGCAGTGTGGAGGCCAGGGCAGTATTCCCTAGATAGTAGTAGGAAGCTCAGTCTCTGTCTTCTGGCAGTCCTTGCTTGGCCTGAGAAAAGAGTGTGAATTCAGTCCCTGGAGGCCAGGCTGGGTGAACCCCCCCCCCATTTCTGTGGCCCCTGGCCAATTTGGAAAAGGTGGCTTTAGCTCAAAGGTCAGGCCATTCTAGCTGGCCTGTGTTCTCCTGCTGTGGTAGGCTCCAGGCTTCTATGCCACCCTCAAAACTTTACAAATGGAAAGTGGCCTGCTTTCTAACTTCAGTTCAGAGCTCTCTTCTTGGGGCTCTGACAGAGATTCAGAGTATTTTAGTTAGCCAAGTGTTCCTGGAGGCTTCTTGTGCACAGGGCAGCATGCTGAGCCACCTTGGGAGCTGGGCTTGCTAAATGACTACAGAGCTCTGATCCAGATGCTGCCCTAACTCTGGGAAACCAAGGAACTTCTTTGGGGAGTGTGCCCCTCTCCTACCCCAGGCCTAATGTTCTCCACTCACTCAGGTGGTTCTGGGAGGCCAGCCCAGGACACTGGAGACCCTTGCATCTGGTTCAGGGATGACCTTACAGAATCCCCAGAATGTGCCTTTCTCCTACTGTTATTTTTTTCCCCATAATATTCTTCATTGAAGACATCCATAGTACTTAGTGTAAGGCTTGAATACACTAAGTGATTGCCATTGGTAAAATCTTCCCAATGGTTGTTTCTAGTTGTTGCTGAGCTATATCTGTAGCCCACCATTTTTGAAAAAGGTCTTACTATAAAACCAAGCTGTCCTTGAACTTGAAATGCTAATCTCTCTCTCTCTCTCTCTTTCTCTCTCTCTCTCTCTCTCTCTCTCTCTCTCTCTCTCTCTCGTTTCATCACTTAGCTCAGGCTAGCCTCTAACTATAGACTAGAATGGCCTCTGCCTCCTGAGTGCTGGCAGTAAGGATATGCACCACAACACAGGCATCCCAGCTATTTTTAAAAGTTCTGTTGAGCATTCTTAAGTCCACTCACATGTTATGCAGCTATATTCCAGAATTTTCCATTTTATGAAACTGAACATCTGTTTTCTTCTTCTCCCCTGGTCCTGGCTTCCCTGACTCTGTGAGGTTGACTAGGGGTTGCATACATCATTTAAGATGAGTCCTGTGATGTCCAAGGCAGTCTATTATAAGTTGGGTAAAGTAGGCCAGTTGAGCTGGTGAACATGGCTCCCAGCATTGCTCACTGATCTGCTTTTCAAGTAGACTTTGGGTAGGCTTGGCGCTTGTCCTAGCAGGTTTTCACCACCTCTATGGTGAGGAATCGTAAGCCCTTAGAAGAAAGTTCTAGTGAGGAACCAAGAAGGTTCTGAACCAACCTCCTGTCTTTCCCAGGAGAAGTCACAGATACAGAAGGATCTGTGGAGGATTGAAGACGTCATGGCAGGCTTGAGTGCGAATAAAGAGAACTATAGAGTCCTGGTGGGATCTGTCAAAAATCCAGGTAAGACAGCAACCATCTTTCTGAATGTAGGGACAGGGTGGGTCTTGGTTCCACATGTCTTGGTTCTATATTTGTATTGTTTGTGTCCATGCCCTCAGAAAGAAAAACGGTGCCTTTGTTCCCCCACCCATCCGTGCCTTCACTTTCTCCAACTGAGAGCAAGCCAGCCCTGCAGCCTAGTCCTCCCACCAGTCCTGTGCGGACACCTCTGGAGGTCCGACTCTTCCCACAGCTGCAGACCTATGTGCCATACAGACCTCACCCCCCGCAACTGAGGAAAGTGATGTCCCCTCTTCAGTCTCCAACCAAGGCAAAGCCTGAGGTGGTAAGCTATGGCAGCTAGAGGCTGAGGGAGTGCTGTGTGACTTCCTGCAGAGATAAACAAAAGTCTGTTGACCTCACATAAGGTAAAGACAGCAGACCAAAGAAATGATCCCACCCAAGGACCTGGTGACTGATAGTTTATTGGGCTTCCTTAAGCAGGGGCAAAGTGTGACTTATAACAACATGAGTTGCACTGTTGCAGAGTGCACCCTGGCCTAGGTAACGACTCACAAAAGCTGCACTGGCAGAATCACTGTTTTCAGTCCATCTTGGGATCTCCTTCCCCAGCCCGATATGAGGGGCAGACTGGAGCAGCAGCCTTGCTAGACAGGAGGCTGCCAACGTGCTGCAAGGTGCCTGGCAGCCAGCGTTGGGCACAGAGGTGAAAGTTCTAGTCTGTCCTCAACTTTTCACTGGGTCCTTGGGCAAGTCCATTATTTTTCTGAGCTACCTCAGTTTCTTCTTGTGCACATGATGGAACTTGGGTCCTCTGGAAGAACAGTCATTGCTTTTAACACTTGACTATTTTGTGTGGTTGTTTACTTGTTTTAGACATTTATATTTATGTAACAGAAGTATCTATCCTGGGGCTAGAGAGATGGCTCAGCCGTTAAGAGCACTGACTGCTCTTCCAAAGGACCAGGGTTCAATTCCCAGCTGTATGGGTATACAGCCGCTCACACTGACTGTAACCCCAGTTCTGGGGGATTTGATGCTCTCTTCTGGCCTCCATGGGCACCAAGCACTTGTGCACAGATATACCTGCAAGCAAAACATCCATACACATAAGCTAACAATAAACATAGTTTTTTAAAAGAAGGATCTAGGCACTGGAAAGATGGCTCAGCGATTGAGAGTACTTGCTGCTCTTCCAGAGGATCAAAATTTTGTTCCCAACATCAACATCAGGTGGCTCACAACCATTTGTAACTCCAGCTCCAGGAGATCTGAAGTCTTTAGCTTCCAAGGGCATTTGCACATACCCACATATGGATACATGCATTTACATATAATGTAAAATTTTTATTAGAACATCCATTTGGAAATGACATTAAAATGTGATGGTGAGCTGGGCAGTGGTAGCACATGCCTTTAATCCCATTTCTCAGGAGGGAGAGGCAGGTGAATCTCTGTGAGTTCAAGGCCATCCAGGACTATACAGTGTAATCTTATCTCAAAAAAACAAAAACAAAAGAAAATGTGTCAGTGACCAGTCATCAGGGCATCCTTGATAGGCGAGCACTCAGGCAGTGAGCAACCACAGAAGGCCTCCAGCCTCACATCCACTCCCTTGCCTGCAGTGGTCTTGGCTTCCATGTGATCCCCTTATCCTTTTCTTTCCTGACTCCCTGTGTCTGCATCCCTAAGCACTGAACTACGCTAGCATAGAACACAGCTCTTCTGTGTGTTCCACACTGCGTGCTTCATCCTGTTGTACACAGGGACCCCACACTGTTGCTTGGTTTATTTCTTTAATTTACTATCATTTTTAAAAACTAGTAATGAGGGGCTGGAGAGATGGCTCAGTGGTTCAGAGCACTGGCTGTCCTTCCAGAGGTCCCTGGTTCAATTTCCAGCACCCACATGGCAGCTCACAACTGTCTGTAATTCCAGTTCCAGGGGATCTGACACATTCACACAGACTTGTAGGCAGGCAAAATACCAATGTAAATAAAATAAAAAATAAATCATTTAAAAGATTTAAAAGAGAAAAACTATTTTTAAAAAAAATGAAAACTAGTAATGGTCCTGGCATGTGGCACATAACTTTAATGTTGGCAGAGGTGTGTGGATCTCTGAGTTCCAGGCCACCCAGGGCTATACAGAGAAACCCTATCTCCAAATACCTACATAAACAAATAAAAGCTGGGATTGGGTGATTTCAAAGAACACAGAAACACAAAGAAAGCATCTAAGAAAATGCCCCCTCCCACCCCGTCTGTAGCCACTTTCTTCAGTCACAGGCAGTGGGTATTGGGTTTATCTTTCTGGACACTGGTGACCCTGTTCTCTTGTTGGGGTTGCTGAGTCTATGGAGCCTGTGCCTGTCTTAGGCAGGCTGCTTACCTTTTACCCACTGGTGAAGTCTGTTGCTTTCAAAGGCTGCTGATAGGGGATTAATGACATAGCTCAGCTGATAAAGGTGCTCACTGCCAAGCCTGACCTGAGTTAGATCCTCCAGAAACTACATAGTAGAAGGAGGGAATCGATTCCCATATGTTGCCTCTGACCTGCATTTGCACACCAAAGCATGTATGTGCAAAACACACATGTATACACAGGTACACATATTCAATTAAACTAAATGTGAAAAAAAAAATTTCCAAAGAATGCTGGTGACTGCTTGCAAAACCAGCTTGAACTCTTTCCTAAATTCTGTGAAATCTTGAAATACAAGGTCAAGGTGGAGAAATGAAGGGAGAGTTAAGGAGGAGGTGTGGGGTGGTGGTGCAAGCCCTTAATCCCAGTGCTCAGGAGACAGAGGCAGGTGGATCTCTGAGGTCAGCCTGGTCTATATAGCAAGTTCCAGGATAGTCAGGGCTACGTGGAGAAACCCTGTCTCCAAAAACAAAAACAAACAAACAAACAAAAAAAAAAAAATGGAGGAAGAAGGTACAGCTGTCATCTGAATGAGTTTTCCTGGCAATCAGGCTTGGTCTCCTGGCATGGAGGAGCCACAGCCCCTAAGAACCAGCCAAGCACATTGAGTTTCAAGGAGACTGGTCTTGTTCCCTGCCTCCCAGGAAGTGAGCAGCGGTTCAGCCACCTCTCCTGCCCTTCTGTCAGTCAGAGCAGGAAGAAGGAGCAGGAGGGTGCATGCAGATTAATGAGCAGATCCCCAGATCCATGAGCTGAGTCAGTGAATCCACTCAGGCTAAGCACAGATATCTGTCCGTTCCCCAGGGTAGGTGCCATCATCATCTCAGAAGAGACAGTCAGGCTCCTACCTCCCCTGTAGGATATGCTGAGGAAGCAGGTGTCAGTCATTTAACACTGCCAAGAATGTAGATCCAGGACACCAAGTGTTGGAGCTGGGGACACACTGTCACTGGGTAACACTTTGAAACTAGAAAACATACTAGATCTAAAAGAAGAGTTGGGATGGAAGTGTTGCCTCAAAGCTTCTGTGGCTGGGGTGGTTATGTGGCTCTGAAGTGGCCAACCCTGTGGCAGAGCCGAGTAACAGCCTTCCTCCCCACTTCAATTCCATCCCACTGAACACGATTCTCTTTCTGAACAGGAAGACGAGGCACCTCCCAGGCCACCACTTCCCGAACTCTACAGCCCAGAAGACCAGCCCCCAGCTGTGCCACCTCTGCCTAGAGAAGCCACCGTCATACGGCACACATCTGTGCGGGGTCTCAAGCGACAGTCGGATGAAAGGAAGAGGGACCGGGAGCAGGGCCAGTGTGTGAATGGGGACTCAAAGGTGAGCTGAAAAGGCTCTGAGCATGCCCCCTGAGTTGTGGGAAGGGTGATGTGACGCTAGTGACTTCATAGCCTCACACTCTGCCCACAGGTGGAGCTCCGGTCCTATGTGAGCGAGCCAGAGCTGGCCAGCCTCAGTGGGGATGTGCCTCAGCCCTCCCTGGGCCTCGTGGGCTCTGAGAGCGGGTACCAGACACTGCCAGGCAGAGGTAAGACACGACTCTCCGTGGAGTCCTTCAGGGGTCTCACACTCTGTTCTACCACTCACAGCCTCTACCTGGGCCTGAGATCCTGGTCAGCAGCTTGGGTCTAACTCTGAGCTGAGAGGGAGGACTGGCCCAAATTCCTTCCATCCATACAGCCTAATTCACTCCCTCTTTTCTCTTTGAGTAGTCTGTCTTTCCTCCCGTTTCTGTCTCCAGGAGCATCGACAGTGATTGCCCATAAAGTCTAACACTGTTGAAGTGTTTTATATGAGCCTCATATTCAGCAGTGCTAGTAGGCAGGTGCTGTTACAACTCCCAATTTAGAGATCAAGAAATAGTCAGGGGCTGAAGAGACAGCATGGTGGTTAAGAGTGCTGATTGCTCTTCTAGAGGATCCCAGTTCAATTCCCAGTATCCACGTGGTGGTTCACAATTGTCTGTAACTCATGCATGTGGCATACAGATACATATGCAGGCAAAACACTGATATACATAAAATAAATAAAAGAAAGAAAGAAACAGAAGGTAAGAGATATTAAACAGGTGCCAGTTAGCTGATCACAGAGGAAGCCAACAATCCCAGAGCTCTGGCTGCAGATCACTCCACAGTGATATGGCCAGCACTGAGGCCATACCAGATCTGTGTCAGCCTGAGACTCGGGGAGTCCTTTCTTAAGCCCATGATCTCCTTAGTTGGGCTCCTTGCTTATCCCTAGCTGGATTCCCCATGAAGCAGAGGGATGGAGGTACTTGTATCCCTTTTCACCTGCCCCAGCCCAGCATTTATGCAAGGAAGCAGAGCTTTCCACATCTCTGCAGTGGCAGAGGCCACCCCCATGCCAGCCTTCCTCTTCCTGGGGCCTGTCTCATCTAGACTAAAGGAGAAAAGAGCAAGCAAGTGGGTTGTTAGTGGAGATCTGCTGGCCCCTCCAGAGAGTGGAGGTGATTAGGGAGGGCTTGGGGAGTGTCCAACCACACCACGCATGCACCTGATTCTTCCTTCTGTGCACAGGGCTCTCGGGCTCCATGTCTAGGCTCCAGCAGTCATCCACCATTGCTCCCTATGTCACACTCCGAAGGGGTCTGAATGCCGAAAACAGCAGTGTCACCTTCTCTGTAAGTGGCCTTGGGATGTGGAGGGACTCACACTCAGTAGGAGGGGCTCTGGGGTGGGCAGTGACCAATGAGCCTTAGGGAATTTAGAGTCCTGTCACCCCCTGCTCTCCAAGAAGGCCATGACCCTGTCATCTCTGTTTTCTGATGAGTCCCAAGCCTGTCACGGTCATGAGAAGTCCAAGAAGCCTGTACCCCAGGTGCACCCTGGAGTGCAGGTTGTTGGTTTGGCTGGATAGATCCCACCTCAGTGTCTGCCTCTGCCCATAAAACCCATTCGGGTGAGGGACCCTGGGTACTTAGAGGAAGTGATTTTCTGTGGCTAAAATGATCCCATGCTGCACATTACAAAGAGACTAAGCAGGGAGAGGGAGGGGTATAGTTAATTGGTAGAGTGCCTGCCTAGTGTGTTTAAGACCCTGGGTTTGTTCGATCCCCAGCACATCAGAAATCAGGTTTGATTGCCAACATCTGTAATCCCAGCCTAAGTGAGTACAGGTGTGAGGAGCAGGAGTTTAAGAGTATCCTGGGTTACATAGTGAATTTAAGGCCTGCCTGGGCTACCCGAGACTACGTGCTGAAAGCAGGAAGCAGCCATGCTTCTAGCCCTGTGTTTTATCTCTTCCTCAGAGACCCAAGAGTGCCTTGGAGCGCTTGTACTCAGGGGACCACCAGCGAGGAAAGATGAGTGCGGAGGAACAGCTGGAGCGGATGAAGCGACACCAGAAGGCCCTGGTCCGGGAGCGCAAGAAGACACTGAGCCAAGGAGAGAGAACGGGCCTGTTCTCAGGCCGATACCTCGGCCAGCCACTGCCTGGAGATCTTGGCTCAGTATGTTAGATGGGGCTGGGAGAGAGGCCAGAGTTTTCCCCAAGTCCCCCAAGCCTACACCTGTCACCTCCCAGGGTGACCTACATGGTTGAAAGAACATCCTGAGGGGCTGTTTGTCCACAACCCCAGCTGCACGTGTGAGCTGGCCAGAGGATGACCTGGACTGAAACAGAGTACTAGGGAGGATCTAGCAGCAGAAGCCTCACCCATTTGCCAAGCTAAGTGGGAGGGGCTTCTCAGCTGAATTCAGGACTTGAGTTCAAGGAGGAGAGGAAGATGGTGAGGAAAGAGACAATGTGCAAGTCAACCACACAGTCTCCCAAACTCCCAAGCAGATACTGGAGTCAGAGGAGGCAACTGAATCAGTAAGGATTGGTGCCCCCAACCCTGAGGTGCTGGTGGTCTCCCAGAGCCTGCGGTGCTGAGGCCTCAGGTACTCAGGAGGGCTGGGGAAATCGGTGCTGTCCCCGATGACTGGCGCTGCACCTGCCCACGGTTGCCTTAGGCCCATTGTGGAGACATTCCATTTGGCTTTTGGGTTTGGAACCCCCTAGTTCCCCAGCCCTCTAGCCTGACTGCTCTCCCTAATTCATTGCACAAGCTCTTTCACTTCTAGTGTAACCGCTCATTGCCTCTAACCCTGCCTGATTGTCTTTACAGACGCTCTGATTGGCACTGGGCCTTCTCTAACCCGCCAGTGCTGTCTCTGACCAGGCTTGTGTTAGCAGCTCTCGCCTCCCAGCCTAGCAGGCATCCTAGGTATGGCTTAACTTTCCACTGCCCTGCTTTGTGTAGGCCAACTACTGATAATGCATCCATTCTAAAAGCTGCTCTCTGAGGACAGTAATCATTAGCAGAGGTCTGGGCATTGGGAATTTTTCAGATTCCATGCCTTACACCAACATGTAGGCATGAACATTAGAGAGTGCACATGTAAGTTCTACAAAGTCTGAGGCCGTTTGGTTTCAATTCCTCTGATCCCATTACACAGTTCCTTATGGAAAAGCTTCTGTAATTCAGATGTAGTAACTTGGATAGCAAAATAAACTATATGCAGAGGGCCTCTCTGCATCTGTCTGTCACCAAAGGACTGGAATAATGTCTTTAAAAGCTATAAACCCATTAACTTTTAAGTTTTATAAGTAAGTATCATATGGAGTAACCCTGACTTTCTATAACCTGCTGTCTGAAGTGCAGAGGGTATCTCAGAACCATAACTCCAATACCTTGTGATTTTTTTTTTTTTTTTGAAAAAAAAAAAAAAAAAAAAGCTTGTGTAAGTCTCATCAACGCCAATAAACATATTGCTTCCTATGATGGATTGGCGTGGTTCTTCCCAAGGGCCCTTTGCAGAGTGTGGTGAAAGCAATCAGGCTGGGTTTAAATGAGGACTTGTCTCTATTTGAGCACTTGTGAGCGTGTAAGAAAAATGTGTGTTTTCTTTGTGAACCATTAAATTTACCCCTGAACTTTAATTGCCTAACTCTTCCCAACTATAATTGGAAAACCATCCCCAAACACTATTCTATTGGTTTGACATGGAGAATTTGGGCTTGTGCATGAACGTGTGGAATGTGCAGATGTGGCGATGGGCTTTGGGGACGGGGCTGGGGAAGCATTTGTGGCTGTTGGGCGTTGTGAGTTGAATGGAGTGAGACAGAGATGACGACTTGATACATAGTATCCTTTTATCTTTATACGAGCAGCCCTTTGTTCTCTTAAGGCCAGAGGCCAAGCACGAACCAGAAGCCATCTTGGAGTTGGGTAGACAAGCTTGGGTAGATTTTTTCCCTCCTATGAAGGGACCATTGATACAAAGTTACCTCTGTGAAATAGCCTTGGAGCAATTGCATCTGGCCCATTTAGTTTTACTTTTGTTTTCTAGTTTAAGAAAAATGTCTTATCTCATATGGTTACCATTTTCCTCAGCGGTTTGCTACACTGGCCACCAGCCAGCTCCTTGGAGCTGGTTGGAACTCTACAGCCCTGCTGAGATACAGCCCCCACTTGCACTAGCCCTGTTGAGAACGCCCTGTAGAGAGATCATCCCCAAGCACTTGAAGGCTGTGAAGGACTTGCTGGTTTTTGTTTTTTCTCTATTGTGCTCCTGAAGTGTATGGCTTCTAAACCAGAAGGCCTTGGGGAGGGGAATTTGGATGGGGCAGGGCCACTGTGAGCATAAAGTCATGTGTCTTCTGCCAGTATCCTAAGGATGCACATTTGAACACTCTGAGGTCTTAGAACACAGCCAGCAGCATGAAAGAGGCTGCAGGACGGAGCAGAGGCCTTTTTTCAGTTTACACACACAGCTCCAGCACTTGCCTAATGTCTCTCATGGTGTCTTCTCATGGACACCAGGCCTCAGGGCCCCCTGTGTGACTCGTTGATGGGCCAGAAAGTGAGGTTAACCCTCTCCTCTGTTGCCAGTGGAAGCGAGAACAAGATTTTGACCTGCAGCTGCTGGAGCGGGCTGCTCAGGGGGACAGAAAAGACAAAGAAGATGGCTGGCTGAAAGTGCAAGCCACACCCGTCATGGAATTGGACCTAGAGCCACAAGACTATGACTTGGACATCAACAGAGAGGTGAGGATAGGGCCTTCTTTCATGTTTCTGAGAAGCCATGGACTTAAGGTTCCTGGCCTGACATGCAGTCTCACCCAGTCAGGGTTCGACTCCACTGTGGACCAAGAAAGTAGATACATGAACAGTGGCTTCAGGTCACAAATCAGTGTTTCTATTAATGTTTAAGCCTATTTCTGTAATTGGGAGCAAATTGTACCCCTGTTCCCTTGATGGTGATGTGAGTTGGCTTAGAAAATGTTTCCAGAATCATTAGTGGTGGCCTTTGCAGATGGCCTGTTAGGCAGACTGTAGTTATCATACGTGGTATGAAATACAATACAGGACAGGTTTGAAAAGTCCCAGACATTTCCAGCCAGGACTAGAGCCAATTTTAGTTTGAATTCTTCTGGTGCCCTCTGGTGGCTCACTTCCTTCATGACATGGCAGGCCTAGGAAAGCAAGGCAAGAGAAAGTAAAGTGGACAAGTGCCTGAGTGCCATACTCGCTAGACATCCCTGCTCACCTTTGGTTTGTGGGCAGTGTCTGTAGCTGCTTTGGTCCTTTGCCTCCCTAACACTGGGATGGCACATGTAGCCAGATGGAAGACTGCTTTATGAATTTTCAGTGTCCCCAAACCTTTATACAGGGACTTGGCTTACTGCATTTTCCCCATCTGTACGATGACTTTGGGTGGGACTCTTCCACAGGTCTGTTTGACACGAGACAGGCTTCAAGTGCCTTCTTTCGGGGAGGGGGTGAGGGGATGCCACTATTGTAGGGTGTGCGTGTGTGTGTGTGTGTGTGTGTGTGTGTGTGTGTGTGTGTGTGTGTTTAAAACTGGGTCTCATACATGCCAAGCACACAGCACTACATACCCAGACCTCCTGTTCCCAAGAGACAGAGCAGATCCCTTTATAAGCTGGTTCTGCCAATGGTTAGGGTTTCATGAGGGAGAGGAGCTCTGAGAACAAGAACTGTGGGTAAGTTGATGCTTGAGTAACTCCATTCTATTCTTGCTCCAGCAGCCAACAAGGCCAGCCTCATGCCCCCAAGCCTTTTTTTTTTTTTTTTTTTCTGACAACCTAAACAGTGGGACCTAAATAGCCCAACCATCTGGGCTTTTCTCATTCACAAAGAACCTCCGTGTGTGTGTGTGTGTGTGTGTGTGTGTGTGTGTGTGTGTGTGTGTGTGTGTGTGTGTGCTTGCTTGCTTGCTTGCTACCTTGGCCATGCAAGGATGCCCTCTGGTGTCCTAATTGGCCTACCAGCCCAGGGAAAATGTCCTTCTTTATCTCTAACCTAAATCTTGCTACAGTATAATCTACTTCCTTCCTGCAGATCTGTCCCAGTTGGGAATAACAGATATTTCTTGCCACCTTTTAATAAATCAAAGGGCCACATGGGTTCAGTTCTGTTACTGAGACCAGTCAAGAACAAAGAAAACTACTTTGAAGCAAATTAAGATCACATTTTTGAAAATCACAGGCTTAAACAGTCCTAAAAGTGTGGTCAGAGGTTTTCAGAGCTCTAGACTACTAACAGTTTAAAAGGGGGACTCTGGTTGGTGCTGGCAAGATTACCTTCACTTTTTTTTTTTTAATTTTCTTTACATTTAAAATGTAGTGTGCATGTGTGTGGGCACCTGTGTTTGTGTACTGTGTAGGTATAGTGGGCAGAAAAAAACCACATGGGTCCCCAAGATCATACTTGGGTCATCAGGCTTGGCAGCAGGCACCCTTAGCTATGGAGCCATCTCTCTGGCACATATTAAGCATCCCTGTAAGAAAGGTGCTGTGCCAGCTGAGTGTAGGTAGTGTGAGGGGAGGGCCCTTGTCGCCTGGGAACCAGAGGATCACTTCTGTACTTGGAGGTTCCCCTAGAGCACTTTCCCGGAGGAAAGGATGAGACAGCTTTTAGTATAGGTGGCATAGATATACCTTGCAGAGTCAGGCTGAGCAGGGAGGAGGTAGAGAACTAAAAAGAGGGCCACCAGACTTCATCCATGAGGCTTTCATTGAGGTGAGTGTAAAATCTGCTCTGCCCAACAGTGTGAAGACAACCTTGGTTATTAAGCAGTTGCATGCTTTTATTGTTTGCTGAAAAGTAAACTTTTCAGTTTACTTTTCAGTCCATCTAGTCTGATCTGTATGGCCCCAAACTCAGAAGTATGTTTGAGACAGGAAATGCTTCGCTACGATTAGGTCCTCAGTTTTCCCATCAGTTTAGGGTGTTCTCTAAGCTGCCAGGCTGTGATTCAACTTGTTTTGTTTGTTTGTTTGGTTGGTTGTTGTTTTCTGTTTGGAGACAGGGCCTTTCTAGATAGCCCCAGCTGGCCTGGGACTCACTATGTAGACTAGAGATCCACTTAAATGCTTGTGTTACACCCCAGCCCTGAAGCTCTTTTGTAGGACAGGGAGGACTCTCCCTTCCTCCATCCGCTGATCCATTAATCTCCATTATGGAGGATTTTCTGAAAGGCTACTCATTGCCAGGTCCCTGAATTAGATGGGACAGAAGAAAAGCCCTTAGGTGTGAAGGACACTAGAGCTCCTGCTGAGTGAGCTGAGTGAGCATGGCTGGAGAGTCAGATCCCTGTGGCCTTGAGTATAGCACTAAGTGCGCCCTGTGAAATACTCAGTGTGTTGCTGGTCTTGCTGTTTCCCTTGGCCTCTAGAAAGCTGCCTAGCATAGGAGGAAGTGTAGAGTGTGTGTTTTGGTGTGAGACCCAGGTTCAACTCACTGGTCCACAGCTGCTTCATTTGATGATCTTAGCAAGTTTCTTCACCCTTGTGCACTTAGTTTGCTTCCTCACAGGGTAGGAAGGGTGGATAAACAGGTCTCGAGTCAGAGCACCCAAGCTTACCCTCCATCCTACTACCGGATCCTCTCCCCAGCTCTCCAAGCCAGAGAAGGTCTCTATCCCCGAGCGGTATGTGGAACTCGATCCTGAGGAGCCACCTAGCCTGGAAGAGCTGCAGGCACGGTACCGGAAGGCTGAGAAGATAAGGAATATCCTCGCCCGATCAAGGTCAACTCTTGCTAGCTCAAGTCTAGAAGTCTCTCAAACCCAGTGTCAGGTGATAGCTCAGCCATGGGAGACCCAGGCCAGGCTGACTGTCCAGTGTTTTTCTAGGCTTTATTTCATATGAGTCCCAAAGATCGAAGGGGTTATAGGGAGGTACGCAGATGAGAAATCTTGCCTCAGTCACCTAAAAGGCTCTGGAGAACTTGTAAAGGGTTCCTGCCCAAGGTCCATGCCCTCAGATCTGTCCCCAGTGATTGGCAAGTGTGAGCCATCAAACCAGATGTTAGTAGTAGACTCAGTTAAGGTCACCTCCAATGATGGTCCTCTTAATATTATAGTTCCATAGATGGGCCCAGGCCAATCCAGGAGGTGCTAGACTAAGCTTTGGGCCTATGTTCCTCACACAGGCTCTCTAGATGGGGCTCAATTTTGTTCCAGAGGTGCTAGGGGCTTTACCTGCTTCCTGGACACTGAGCTTGGATCCAAGGAAGTGAATTTTCTGGCCCATAAACTTCCCTACCAGAGTTACATTACCCATTTCACATCTAGGTTTACCAGAAATCTCCAGTTGGAGCCATTAACTTGAGGTCTACAGGAGGAATGAAGCTATATTCACTATAGGTTTGGGGAGAAATAGGCAATCTTGTCATGGAAGAAAACAGGCAATGCACATCCGATATCCCTGAAGTCTTGAAGATCCCCCTCCCCACAGCCAGGGAGACACTCCACATGTGAGGCTGAAGGCCAGGGTGGTGAGACTCAAAGCCTTCTCTCTGGTTCCCACAGCATGTGCAACTTGCAGCCCGCAGGCCAGGACCGAAACAGCCTGGCAGACCTGGACTCACAGCTGCAGGAACAGGAACGGATCATCAACATTTCCTATGCCCTGGCCTCGGAGGCCTCTCAGCGCAGCAAGCAGGTAGCAGGTAAGGCTGTGGGTGCAACCTCCAGGGTCCCTTTCCTGCCTGCTGCTCCCAGTATCCAGTGTGGCTTGTCCTAGAGCAAGGATGTTAGCAGGTGTTGGCAGGTCAGAGCATATTCTGTGTCCCACCTGACCCAGGCAGAAGAGCTGACACTGGGCCGGCTCTGAACCAAGCGTATAGGGCTCAAGTTTCTTTCCCTAGGAAGGAGGAGGCAGAAGTGATGCTGGATTTCTTGGTGGGGCAAAGCAAAGGGGCTCCTCTGATCTCTGCCTAGAAACTCTTCCTTGATCCTCAAGCCAAAGCCACTCGCCTTGTCAGTGACCGTGGCAGAAAGTAGGAATTGGGAATAGAGGCTTTGCCAGCCCAGCCAAAAGAATATCATGGTAGTGTAGAAGCAGCACATGGCTGTGTTGTGTATGAAGGCTGCTTTAAGCCCATGCCTGTAAACCCAGCTGCCAGGAGCTGAGGCAGGAGAATTGTGGCATGTATGCTATGGGCTAGGCTAGCCTGGACTACAGACCCTGTCACAAAGAAAACAATAAAAGAGACTCTGTCAGGCAAAGAACCCTGGGCTCCTCCCTCCACCCTCATCTCCCTCCCTGTGGTAGCCTCACAGTCCACCCCGTGTAGATTGTCCCGGGATACAGAGGCTATTGTGTATAAATGTGGTGGCCCTGGCCAGGTATACTTCAGGAACGGATGGTAAAAGGACCAAAGTGGTGCCATTCTCTCTACTGGCCCTCTAATTGACCAAGGATGAGGCCTGCAGGCCCTGTGGCTGCTGCACTGGGGAGTTTGGTGTGGGGAGCAGCTTTGACATCACTTCAGGGGGCCCTGTGAGGACAGATGCCAGATTCTGAGGAGAGACCTGTTCTGTCCCCATACCTTGACCTTCCAGAGTTCCTAGAAATCCAGCCTTGTGTGTTGGCTTACACCCATAATCCCAACTCAGGAAGTGCAGGCCAGAGGATCAGGGTTTCAAAGTTATTCTTGATTATGTAGCAAGTTCAAGCCCAGCATGGGCTACTCTGAGGCCCTGTCTCAAAACAAAACCAGACTAAAGCAGATTCTGAGATCTCTGCTGTCAGTGCTCTGTGTGAGACATGTAGAGGGGCTGAAAGTGGTCTGTGTTGCTCTGTGGCTGGGACTCAGGCAGCCCTTCTCCCTGATGACCCCAGAGCTCATCTCAGCAGCCTGAGCCCCTCCCTGTGAGGCTGCCCCTCCTCTCCAAACACTCCTCACAGCTGTGCTTGCTCTCACTGCCTCCACCATGTCTTGGGTGGTGCTAGGGATTGAACCAGGACCTCTGGTATGCTAGGCTGATCCACCAGTCACTGCGCTACATTTCCAGCTTGCTTTCACTGTGATCAGTCCCCTTAGCTTCCTCCCACACAACTGGTGACTCCAGACCTGACACCCTTCTGTCCTGCCTCCCGGTCTACACCTTTCTTTGTTCTTGCTCTCTCTCTGTCTCCTGAATCTGAAACTACAGGCAAGCTAGGCCCTGGGGAACTGCCCCCAGGATCAAGCCATCAGTTGGGGACAGGGGTCCAGGCCACAGAGTCCCACCAGGCAGGGCATATGGTGGTGTGGGTGGACAGATCACTCTAACACACCGCCTGATTCCTGTGTGCTCTGTCTAGTGCAGCAGCTGGCCCTTCTCCCGCCTAAAGTCCCCCTGTCCTCCAGGACGGTGCCACCTTACCCCCCCTTAAGCAACGGACTACACTACACCTTTGTCTAACACCTTCCAAGTAAGAACCCCTGCCTGGCTGCCCTGCTGCTATTCACCCCATAGTCTGAGCATGCCCCTTCTGCCTTCCTGCTGCTGCCGATCTGACTGCAATTCCATCTGCTATTGCTTCTTTCCATTGGTTTCATGGCCACTGTGGGGTGACCTGCCTAGACAGTAGGCGGTTGGAGAAGATTTGCTTTTTAGGGACGCTGACCTTAGTCCTCAACAGGGGCTGCCATTACAGGTGCAATTGTGCTGACGTACCTCGGGGAAGTTTCCAGCCCTTTGACTTCATAATATGTCGTTGCCATTTATAGAGTTTAGGCTATGGAACTGCGCAGTTGAGGTACAAGAAAAAAGATTGCCAAAAAAAAAAAAAAAAAAAATCTCATGTTTCAAGTAAGTTTAGGATTGTGTGTTGGGCTGCATTCATAGCTGTCCTGGATCACATGTAGTCTATGGGCCATGGGTTGGACATATCTTCTAGGGCCCTAGTTACACCTGCCCATTTCTCTTTCCCAAGGCAGCTTGATGCCCCAAAGACCACATAGGCCACTCTGCCAGTCTCCAGGCACAAGAGTCAGATCTCTCTCTTTTGTGGAAAGAGACTGAAGAACTGTTAAGGCCAGAGTTACAGAAGATAAGCTGAGACCCTGAGGGGTCCCCTCATTCAGCAAGGCCTGAAACTGTATCAGTCACTGAGTGCCTTAGGGGAGAGACAGAGGCAAGTCCAGGACCACAACCCATCAGAATGCTTGGTTTGACACTGGACGGGCAGGTGGTAAAGGAAGGTGCCCCCCCCAGGGGTTCAGCTGCCCCTGCCTATATCCTCACCTAGTTCACAGAGGTCACACTAGAGGTCCCTAGCAGTCTGCCTTACTGTCAATTTGCAGAGTTCCCTTCTCTTTCCTTAACTGGGGTATGGTTAACCATGTTGAGGGACTACTGCATGCTAGACATTGTACTGAGATCTCCTGGCCCCCACAACAAGCCTATGAAGCTGTTCCCTCTGCTGTATAGATAAGGAAATGGAGTACAGACACCCCAGGGACTTACCTAAGGAGTTGAAGCATGTGTCAGGATGCAAAACCTTTTGATGTGAGCCAACTTTTATTCTCCATGTCTGCTTGTCTGCTGGCTAGTAGGCTCATCTGGGCCAACCCTGGAAGCTCCAGGAGTCTGCAGAAGAGAGTGAAGGGGACATCACTTTGCACTGGGACCCTCCAGCTTTGGACTGCTCCTGCTTCAGAGCCAGTAGGCCCCAGCCAGTCTGAGAGCAGGGGGAGGTCAGCTGGCTTGGACCTAACCTGGCCCTCATAGAGGACTGAAGCTGTAGAACTCCACAGAAAGCTCCAGCCACAGCCTTTGTAAAGTCCTACAGGACTTGCCAGGACCACAGTTGTATGTATGCTTTCTTCTTAGGTATCTGAGCAGGCAGAGGTGTCAAGGAGAGGCTCCATTCACTCTCCTTTTTCAAGCCCCCTTGTGTCAGGACTTAGATGTGCTCTCCAGGGCTCATCCATGCCTCTTCCTCTCATGGTACCATAGGCAGGTTAAAACCATTTTGTTCTTAGGTTAGAAATATGACATAAGAATTAAAACAAACAAATAAATGAAGCAAGCAAGGTCACAGAGGCTGGGCTATTTAGTCTTCCAGAGAATGAAGCAAGCAAGGTCACAGAGGCTGGGCTATTTAGTCTTCCAGAGAATGAAGGGCAGAGCAAGTAAGTAGCCCAGTGGCTTGCCCAGGTCTTGGCCTACTGCAGAGGACACATTCATGAACCATAGGCCACTATGGTAGAAGTAGAAGAAAAATAAAACCCAGTGTGCTGGGTCCTAGAACCAAAGGTCCCTTGACAGCGGCCACTTTGCCCATGCCCCTTGCTCTCCTACTCTGTCTGCCAGCCTGTCATGTATGTGCACAGACATGCCCACTCTGAAGACAGGAACAAAGTTTTGCCAGCCTCTCACTGTCTCCTGTGCTTTTTGCCAGCCCAGGCAGTAACAGACCCATGATCCAGTATGCAGAGGAGAAGTCTGGAGCCAGGGGCCCAGCTCAACCAGCATCTTCCTGAGACACTGTCTTCTTTGCCCCAGTGGAAACCCTTCCAGCAGAATGGGGACTGTGGCTGGAGGAGAGAGCAGCCCACCCACCATGGTGGGTTTAGCATGGAGCAAGGACTCCATCCTAACACATGCCCATTTGTTTCAGTCCAGATTCATTTTTACAGATGACAGAAGCACTTTTGATACACGATGTGAAATATACTGTATTTTAGAATCAGAATATATTTTGTAATGCTCACCTCAAGGGTTGAGTGGCTGGAAGGTGAGCCTGCAGGGTTTTGTAGCCACACATAGGGATTCAGGTACGGGGGGGGGGGGGGGGGGTGTAGCATAGTGGGTGGGGAGAGGGCAGAACAGGCAGGGGCGGCTGGATTTGGCGAAGCGATTCCAGTGGGTTACCATGCTCACGAGGTTACCATGCTCATGACTGTGGAGGTCAGCATGCCGGGCCAATGGTCAGCCCTGGAAACTCTATCTCGATGGCCCATAGAGCCTGTCTATGCCTTCATTCTGACTGAGGAGCAACCATGTGTGTTCAAAAGCTGTGGCTTCTTCAGCCTGACTGTGAAGCAGTGAAGTTCCCTCAGCAAAAGGGAAGAAGCAAAAGTGGAAACAAGAGATGTGCTGTAGCAATAAATTCCACATTGGGTGGCATCTGCACACAAAGGCCTAACCTAACGCCATCCCTCCAGCCAGGCAGGGCTGAAGGACCTCTGCTGCCCGCTATGGGGAAACCCAGGACAGCTTCCCTGGGACTGGTGACAAGGGCTGGCAAGGGCCAGGGCACAGGACTTTGACCTGACCCCAGCCCAGCTCAGGAGGAGGTAACCATGCCAGACACAGTGTTCTTGGCCCCTTATTTAACTTGTGTCATGATATTCTACATATATGAAGTAATGACTAAAAAAAAAAAAGAACAAAAACAAAACACCTCCATTGGGTGGAGTCACATTTTAAATGAAAAATTGTCTTTGACTATGTTTAAAAGAAAAAAAAAAATCCTTGAATATATTTAGAAGTTGCTTTCTATTTTTAACTAACTCCATATGCTGCCAGTATCAACTTCATGACATTTGCCAAAATAAGATTTTATTTTTGCCTTTATAAGATTTTGTTGGAAAAAGGAAATGAATATTTTGCAAGAAAAAGTTAATTTAAATAAAAGTGTAATGGTTTGCAAAAAAAAAGAAGTGATGTACAGATTAAAATTTTAACATGATCTGTGTCCTGTTTCTTGCTGGTTGTGTTCATCTACCATGGCCTGCATGTATTCTTACCCTGTGTCAGGGTCTCTGTCTCCTACTTACTCTGTTCACTTATGAAACATCCCTTTCACTGACAGCTCCTTGATACTTGAGTGACCTTGAAGGCCTAAGGGGTGAGGATCCTTATCCTACCTCCAGGGAAGAAGCCACAGAGCTGTGGACCCCCATGTGGGACTGGTTTGGACTGGTCAGCCCCAATCTAATCCAAGATAGCACCAGGGGTACAGTGGGCCCCCATCCAACCCACACACTGCCCATTCCAATTAGGCCTATTAGTGATGGGCCATTGCAAACTGGATTTGCATTTAATTCATCTTGACTGGTGATTCATGCTTAAGGCAGCAGGCTAGGGGACCTTTTGGTTTAGGGATGTGTGTGGTTTCCAAACTTCTGCGTGGCCAAAGAATGTGTTGGAGGTTTGAAGAAGCCTTCCAAGTGTTTAAATTGGGGAAAGTGGATTCCATGGCATTCTGGATAGGCAGAGGGGCTACCTGTTATTTAAGGCACTGATCCTTTTGAATTTAAAAATAAAAAATTCTAGTTTTAAACATTAGCTGGAAATGTCACATAACAGATTAAAGCAGGGAGGGGAAGATTCTGCAACTGAATGCAGTCTCCTGAGAAAACAAAAACCTACAGTGATGCCCACCCAGCAGGGGAGCCGTCTGTAGGTGGTTTCTCAGCACAACCAGAGTTGCATTTTCAAACTGTTGGTCTTGGTTTGTGTTTCACAGCTGCAGACCTGTGTGTGAGAGAACGTGGCTTCTGTTCCTAAGGTTTTTCATCAGGGAGGGAGGTATACACTGTTCTAGGAGAGTTGTGGCTTCAATTGTAATCCTCAGAGAGAGTGAATGGGCTTCAGTCAAACTCAGTGCAAAGCACTACAAAAAAAAAAAGTTACAAGATGGTGGTGTCTGTGTAGGATGCAATGTGTCCTGATGCTGCTTCCCAATTCCTTGAGAGGACTGGCTGCGGTCATCTTGGGGCTGAGGAGACGGCCCAGTCAGGAGAATATTTTCTACAGACGCACGAGGACCTCAGTTCAGTTGCTAGAACTCAAGAGAATAGCAAGCTTGGTGGTATGCACCTGTAATCCCAGCCCTTGAAAGGTGGAGACAGGAGCAGTCTTAGAGCTCACTGACTAACCAGCCTAGCCCCAGACTCAATGAGGGAGGCTGTCTCAAACAATAGGAGCAAGAAAAATGGTCTAGTGGTCTAGAAGACTTGCAGAGGACATGGTTTGCTTTCCAGAACCCTGTGTGGCTCACAAAGCTATGTAACTCCAATTCCAGAGTATTCACTTAGTGCCCTTTTCTAACCTCCATGGGCACTAAGCACACAAGCAGTGCATATATGTACACATAATAGGCAAAACACTCATACACGTAAATAAGTTTAATCAATTGAGGAAGAAACTAGATAAGAGCATCAATCTTTCACACATGCATGTGTGCCTCCACACATGTACATATAAACACTACTTGTACAAAGTTAAAAACAAGATGGGACCATTTGTAGACTAAATGTGTGCACTCCACGATTAAGAACTGAGTGGCCCAGAATTTCAAAATGTGTATCCTTACAGATCCCAGGGCCTTAGCAGAGTGGTAAATAGTGTGTGTGTGTGTGTGTGTGTGTGTGAGAGAGAGAGAGACAGAGAGAGAGAGAGAGAGAGAGAGAGAGAGAGAGAGAGAATGTACTCCTGTGTCTATTCACTAATCACCTTTTCTCTTATTTGATGTGTGTGAATGTAGGTTTTGCACATATTCTGCATGTGGAGGTCAAAGGTCAATTTGAGACATCATTCCTACTATGTAGGTCCTGGGGAATCAAACTCAGGTCATTAGCCTTGGCAGCAAGAGCCTTTACCCATTAACCCATTTCAGCAGCCCTGCTCCCCTCTTAATTCTGACTGTAAGTTGGGCCCCTGCTGAGGCCCAAGCAGTCTTGTCTGATCATGGCCAGAACAAACAAGAGAATGTTAAAATCAGCTGTTAAACAGGAACTGGGAATAAAATCTCCTAATCCTCACTTGACCTTCCAGAATTCCCTGCATTTTTACCATATCCAAGATGCCACCTAAATAAAAACACTTCATATATGCAGTTTGTGAAGTAGATATGCTGGACTTCGTGAACACCTTGGATACCTTCACACGATCAGAGTTCTTACTGTTTTCCTGGCTACTTTAGGTGGTAGCCAAAGGTCAGAGCATCTTCTACCTCTTCTCCAGGGACCTGCAGGTCCCCCTGGGCAGTGTGTGTGAAAGAGGATGACAGTAATGGATACAGGCTTTGGCCCTAGCCAGCCAGGAGCCTGTTGTGGGCTCCAGGAGTTTCCCTACAGTTGCAGTGCAGTACCCTGTGCTAAGTCCTTGTGTGTTCTCACCAAGGGTGGGAATGAAACAGCAAATTATTTGTCTAATCCACAAAACCACATTTCTGAGACATAGCAGGCCAATGCTGGGAGCCCTCTGCTTCAGGACCAGTACCACACAGGGGCTTTGCAAGGGACTTCTCAGGTTGTTCTGAAAAGAACAAAGGGACTAGGCTGGGGAAGACATGAAAAATGGCAGCCCCTCCCAGCACGGTAAGCATGCCATCACTTTGCAGCCTGTACTCAAAAGGCAACCACTTTCATTGGTTCTCTAGCAAAAGAAACCTTTCTTCAGAGCAAGTGGCAGTGTACAAAGGCAGAGCACAAAATGTACGCACATCAGAGTCCCTGCAATTCTGTTTGAACAAGCATATTGATTGGGCCTGACCCTGTTACATTTTTTCCCTATTATTTGAAAAGGTGCATCTAAGTGTAGTGAATTGAATCAACGGGATTGAACTTTCCATGAGAACTTCTCGAGGTATTTCTTTAGTTCAAAGCTTTTGAATTTTAAAGGGCATTTTTAATATGAATCTGTTGAGTATTCTTTGCCACAGCCCAACAAGGCATGTTAAATGCAGATGAGGCTAGAGGAGGAGGCTGGGAGTGTGGGTAGAGCCAGAGGCTGCAGGGATGGACCAGCCCTGCCTTGTGGGAGAGCCAGGCTTTGCCGAGAGGGTAAACCCTAGGTTGGGGAATAGCATAGACCCTAAATGGGAGCTTTCTGAGCATAGCCACAGGGAGGCTGTGTGCCACTCAGCTGCCCACTGTCCCACATTCTTATGAAGCCTAGAAGGAACTAGGCAGGCAATGTCCCTTAGCCGATGTCTCCCAGCCCTAGACAGACCTCTTCAGTCTGTCACAGGTCTTGGGCATTTTGCTATTTGTGTGAGTCCCTTGTGCCATTCTAGCCATGGTTCCTGGAACCATCTAGAGGCCTCATTCTTCTCAAGCATAGTTTAAAAACTCTCGGTCCACTTAAAGCTCATGCTTTCCCTTTTAAATTAATTTTATGTATATGGTTGTTTTGCATGTGTATATGTGTGCACCGTGTGTGCAGTGCTAGGAGAGGCCAGAAGAGGACATTGGATCCCCTGGAGTTACAGGCAGTTGTGTGGGTGCTGGGAGTCAAACCCAGGACCTTTGGCAGAGCAGCCTCTGCTCTTGCCCTGCCCCATCTCTCCAGCCCCCTTGCAGCTCCCTGTTGGTCTGAGCTTCTGTTTGCCTCTAGAGGCTTTGACTCTCAGAAATATTTTCTCTGTAGACCCAGTGTTTAGACTCAGAGGCAGAGTCACCCCAGAGCAGCTGAAAAAAATAGCATCCCCTGCACCCAAAGAATGCAGGGTATGGACATCTCTACAAAATTGTCTGAACAAAATTACTGCTTCAAAGATAGTGGCCAGGGGGAGATGCTGTAAGGTCAAAATCACTGCAAAAATTGGCTCTTTGTGCCTGTCTCTGCCCACAAATGCAGAAGCCACACCCACTTCAGTCCAGTGCCCACCCCCAAATGCATGCCTGCTAGCCTCTTGAAATTCATCTACATACTTGTTTTCTTGGCTTTCACTTTCAGGCCTCCCACTGTGATGGGTGGTTTCTAGGACCACAGTAGCCAGTGAGAACAACTGTAACAAGCCTGGGACTCCATGAGTATCCCTGACTGAA